GGAATGTATTGCATATAATAGAGGCTCGACCTCAAGGCACCGATATCTGTGAGCTACTGGTGCACGCCAGCGAGCGCATCATGCGCAACGTATCAACGCATATCACGGCCGAGATTCCAGGCGGAATACAAGGCGCTCAACCAGGTTGACCGTTTCTTCCCCACTCCAAACGTCTCTGCTCCTCGTGTTGTCGCGCTTGGGAAGAATTCGCGGTCTCCCTGGGCTACTATGGGGCCAGGTGCGCTGGTACTCCATACATGGAGATACAGGCCATACGTGGCGCCACACTATTCTATATCCTTGCAGACACACGCGATAAACAGTCTGTCCGGCGTGAATTCGACTCTTGTGAGAATGGGGTTAGGGTTAGATTGCCGCGCTCATGGTCGTTCTCTATCCCGACATGTGGCAGTACGTCCTTTTTGTCATGAGGTACCTACGACCTAGTCCTTTATGAAGAAGCGAGCTCCTTCTGTGACACTAAGCACACTAAGTGAAGTGGGAATACTGGACCGGGGTCGGCCCAATGGTAACATCCTGTTCGCGATCACAACCTGCAGTCCCTGTCAGCGAGGATCCGTGCGACGCAGAACTCCACGGCTGGTTTATACGTCGATGGCGAGATGATGTCTGGTTTTCAACGGCGCGGGCGCGCTTACCTCGAGCCGCGCCGAGCGCGCCTCTCGGTTTCGCGCACCCGTCACAGCCTCTGGATCACCTCATTTTACATGCCACCTCTCAGCTACCAGTCATGGGCACCTGGATCCACGGCCGACAAAGCTATACGGCAAATTCACGAGGACATTCTCATCGTCCGGAAGATCGCCATTGTCGCCAACAGCGACCGATCGGATGCGAGAGCTTGGACGGGGCGAAATCGCGATTTTGGTAACCTCAAGGAAGCCACCTGAGTCGTGGTTTCCCATCACTCACTAGACCACGGGCGAAGGCTAGAACAAGCCTACATACGAAGAGCACCAATCGCGGTAATGCTTGGGCATGTGCTTTGCTTGTAAAGGATCGCCGAGGAATGTATCGTCACAGTCTTATTTCACCTAGTAAATAATGAGCACCTTCGGAGACCTCAATCACACGCTGATCTGCGCTCTTCAGTCCGCGTAGCTTCCATGCGATAACATTGGTACATTCCGGCTCTTTGCAAAACCGTAAACCTGGAAAAATCGAGATCGCAGACCACCTCGGGCTGCTCAGCGGATCCTCTGCTTGACCTGACTCAACTGTCATCAGACGAACGGGTTCGGTAATCACGAATTGCGTCGACACGCCATGTCCTACGCCAATACGCCATGTTTTGCGCCAATACGCCATGTTCTGCACCGACGTGCCCGTTTCTGCATTAATATGCCAGGTAGCTTGCGCCAGCACGCTTCAAACGGAGAAGGTATTGGGTGAAGCGCAAGATGATACGATAAAATGAGATGTTAACGGAAGGGGGGGAGCATAAACCGACTAGGGGAGGAGAGAGAGAGGCGGGTTATGATGCATATATGATAGATGAAAGCAGGCGAAGAGTGTACCTGGTGGAACGAGTGAGCAGAAGGAAAGCGCAATGGTGCGTATTCTGGGCATGCATTGAGACGTGGGGATAGAGAAAAGGGAGGCAGTGTACAAGCGAGGTGATCGGTCTTTCGAACGAGCCAAGCAAGAGGCAAGGTGGTCTGCGAAGCGAAATCAGGATTCATCTAGAAGAAGTATACAGAAAGAGCACATATCGCGCACATATCTTCGAAGATGGAGTAAGAGAAGTGTCGCAGATACGAGAGGACCATATGCAAAGGAACGGGTAGCTGGTCATGGTGGTAGGAACGCAGTCGATTTTGGCGCGTCGGTCTGACGCGTCGCGGAACTCGCCCGCCTGGGCCAATGAGAGGCCTTCACGCAGTCACGTGCCCGGTTTGAGCGGCCCGGGGAAGGTTTTGGTGTTCTGCAAGCCGGTTCTCTTCGAGCCCCGGAATACTCAGATGCGAGAGCTTTGGCGAGTAACTGGACCTATGAAGTCGTGGATGAGAATCTATATATGTGGCTAGGTTGATGTACCCCTCTAGCATCAGGCTGTCAAGCCCCGACTGTCGTTCGTATTGGTCTATACATCGCAACGACAGTGGCTATTATGCCAGATATTTCCTGTTTAAGATATGCAGAGATCGGACAAAGGACACGACGAAGAACAGATGCAATGCTGAGTGCTATTTAAGGCAGTGTTTTATATGCTTCCTACGCTGATGGATGTCTATGCAGTGCTAAGTTTTGCCCTCAAGTTCCGGACCGAATCCTGTTACCACCTCACTTCCTCTTCTACGTACAAGTATCAGCCTTTGGTGTCTGAGTAATATCAGTTGGAGCTTACTAGAGCGCCTTGAATATTGGATATCGAACTAGCAATTGCATCCGAGTTCCCCGCTCGAATGGCGTCCATGTCGATGTCGAGAGTCGGCAAGTCATTCGCTGCTGTTCCGTTCGTCGAGGCTCCATGCTTCTTGCCAAGATCCTCCCCGCTAGAGAATGACGGGAAGAACCCGTTGGGGAAGAGCAGGTTCAAGGTAAGCCAGACGGAAGGCAGACCGGGGAACCTAGCGCGGACGCGACGCTCATAGATGTTGATGACAATGGTGAGCGGAAGAAGCTGTCTATGAGTGAGCTCTGCATGACGGGACGCAAGAAAAGTGATCGAGCAATACCATCATAGTTTTGAAGAGCGCCACGCTGGAGTGCGCAAATGTCAAGAACCAGCTGAGCGGTACCCAGAAGATGTACGCGATGGAGGAGAACATCTCCCTGAACTCCCTGAGCACGATCTTCACTCGCTCCTTGAAAGGCTTCTCGGTATCGAGCAGCGTTACCGGGTTGGGGACTGGGATATCGGCGGGCAAAGCCGGAAGCGGCGGAGCCCCGGGAGGCGCATTCGGTACAGGCACCTGCCAATGTCAGTCAGAGCGTATACCGTACGTGATGGTTGGACGAACTCACAGACTCCATTATTCCAGCGGACTTGCGTTCGAGTGCAGGAGGGAGGTTCGAAGTGAAAGAGGAGAGCAAATTCGTGGCTGGTGTCACCGTATTCTACGGTACTACGTCAGTGCTTCGTCCCTCGGACACCATGGTATACTAACAGCGCTCACGCTGGTGATCTGCGGATTAGAGGGCGCCGATTTGTACGGATTGCCAATAGACGACACTGAGGGCGGTCTCGAATAAGAGCGTATCGAAGTATTGGAGGTCCTACGTTGAAGGGGCGCGAATCTGCTTGACTGCAGGTCGGTCTGCACCTGATTAATAGAGTTGTTTAGATCCTTTGAGAAACGGTTCAGGATGGAGGCCATACTTTCGAAGATGCGTGTGCCGGGTTTGTCCTTCTGCATATATACTCAGGGCAGGTTATTCGGATGGGGTGCAAACGGAGTCTTCGCTTCGTCGCAGGCGAACCGCGACAGTCTTTGCCTTGTGATTCTGCCACAGTGTGGAGAGGTACATTACTGCAGAGCCATCTTGGTATGTTCACTGTATTCTCGTAGTCATCGACAAACACAAAATAAACAGGGAATCGCTTGTACTTCATGAGAACGGCACCGATAACAACGCTGATCATGCTGCTGTGTTGAGCAATCATCTCCGTTGTCCCACTCAGCTCGACAATGGCCCTCCCTACATATGCGAACCCGGCGTTGACGAGCCGGTTTCATGACGCATGCCTCTAGTCAGCGTCAACAGGAGGTTCTCAATCCTCGCCTGCCGCTGCTGTAGCTCCTTCATCTCGGCTTTGAGACTATTCACAGGCAGGTCTTTCGCCTCCTCGAGCATCTCAGATATCCTTCGCACGCTATCATCAAGCTTCATTTCCGCGCCACGGGCATCTGCCTGCGCCAGATCTGCGCGTGCGCCGAATAGACGCGCAAGCGGGCTCCGGGAACCGAGCGATGGCGCATCTGAGGGCCGCATGTTGCGCGTTTGCGACGCGCTGAGGCGTAGCTTTGGTTGCTTGCTGGGCGAATTGGGGACCGAACGACCTCTATCTCGGCTCAGCTGTTCGCGCTCGGTCGCACGATTGCGCGGTGGCGTTCGGATTGCAGGCAGTCCATCTTCACGCCCGTTCGCGCTGGGGCGGCTTGCCCAAGAATGTAAGCCTACGCCTAGATCATCCTCCGCGTCCGAGCCGAAGAGGTCGCGATCCGCATCATCGTCGGCATCCTCGAGATCGGTTTCGACTTCGAAGATCGCCTCGTATACACTGTTGGAGTCGGGTCGTAACATGGCCTCGAGTACTGGGAGCGACTTGAGGGCTCGAGGCAGTGAATGGAATGCGGATTGTATGGAGGAAGAGGTTGAGTCCCATAGAGAGTCATGGGTGAGCATGAAACGCTCGTAGAGATGAATGACAATGAGAATCGGGAAGGACTGCGAGATGTCAGTGTCGGAAAGGGAGGGCTACGAGTAGATAACGCACGGTCAGGCGGATGAGTAAGACATTCAATGTGTGTAACGCGCGCGGGGACAGAATGAAACTTGCAGGCCAGAGTATGACGAACGCCACCAGATTGAAAGGGGGCTGATAGCTTATGAGAGCGTCGCTCTTCATGCTGAGACATGGTGAGCTACAAGCCAGAGGTCGATAAGCCAGAAGCGCACCCTTCCATGGTACCGATGGTGTATTGATAGAGATACTGTTGGGTGTGAGCATATCATCGTGGTTCGTCAAGATTGCCAGTCGTACCTCGTTACTCGCGTTCTACCGGAGAAACGGTCAGCGCCATCCTTCGGCAGACGCGAGGGAAGGCAAGCACTCACTGCGTCAATCTTGGCGAATGTGTTACTCAGGATTGAGATGAGGATGGTGAGTAGCAACGTGTTGCTTAGAGCGGCAAAGACCGTCATGATGATGGGCCCAATGATAGGGTGGAATGAAGCGGCTTGCGAGAAGGAGAGGTATGTGTTCCCAAACCAGATCTGTATCATGAGCCATACTATCGATCGAACAGACCACGTATCACCGCCGAGGGTCCACAAAGTAAGCATGACGCCGGAGAAGCATATCGTCTACAGGATATGAGCAGTGGATGAGCGATTATCATCATGTACTGACCGCAATGCACATGAAGAAGATGAACTCGGCACCCATTGCGCGTAACGCCCTGTGAGCCACTGTGAGATGTTGACATGCGCGATGTATGAGGCCGCTAACAGTATGACCATGTTGTTCGACACCATGAAGAATGCTAGCCGAGGTAGTAGAACACAGGCGCCTGTCGCTAGGATATCAAAACCCCATTGAGAGACGTAGGCTGCAGTACTGTGAGTAACGTCATCAGTTGACGGTGACAGTTCAGCTCACTATCCCCGACAATAAGGCCTCGCACGCGGCAGACGAAGTAGACCATAGTGATTGCTACGAAGAATGTGTCGAATACGTTCCACATCTAGCGCGCTCGCTGTCAGTTGATGGTTGATGACAATCGAAGGAGGAGAACTACGTTTGCGATGTAGACTAATTGGAGTAGAATAAGCATGCGTCGGAGTCAAGCGGATTGGTTGCACTCACCTCTCCATCCATGTTCTATCGAAGCGGTGTATTCGTCCAATGCAAACGCTAGAGCGAAGATCATGAAGATGACCTCGAAAGCGTGCAGGTGCTCCAAGTCTCGATGAGTCATGCAAAGCATGTAAGTCGTGAACAGCAGCGCGAAGTTGAGGAACTCTAGGAGGGCACCATAACGCGGAACACGCAACCTGGAAGGCGGAAGTCAGCCCTAAACGATCTTTGACCCGATATCACGCGGCTCACCGATAATGATCCAACAGGGGTGCTTCGCGTATGTTGTAGATGGATACACCACGGCTCTTGTAGTTATCGGCCACCAGTGAGCGCGAAGCAGCTGAGTGCGAGACGACCTTTCCAGAGTAGATGTCGTTCACCACCGACTGCACTACAGACGTTGCAATGAAGCGCTTCGCCTTGGTTGCAATAGCCATTTCCAGTGCAGACTGGGGGTTATCCAGAGCGTCTTCGCTGCCGCCCAAGATCGTCTTCACCTCGCCCACCACTTCGTCTGCTGCACCGGCCAGTGGGTCGTATGGTGTGGTCAATACAGTGACGAGCTGTATCTTATTGGTCGCAAAATGGCTTATAAGCTTCATGGCAAGTATCTCGCAGAGATTCGCGCGGGACGTATTCATGCCTGCGTGTGCAATGTCGTTCTCGGCAGCTGAGATGAAGTGGGCGCGGACCACGAGGCAGATGTAGGCAGTGGCCGGGTTGCTTGTGCGAGCATATTTGAAAACGAGCGGTCGTACTATCGCAAAGTTGATGTCGCTCGCGGTGAGTTGGCTGTAGGGCGTCAGAGGGGCCTAAACAGGCATAGAGGTGGTTGACTGACTCCCAGCTGAGTACGGTATCTAACAGAAACATCAGTTTCAAGCCAAGCAGGAACGACTTTGTCTAACGCACCAATATCCCTCTGTGGATATGACTCTTCTTCAGTACGTATACATCCATAGATAGCATGCACCCACTATCACGTCCTTTTTCAACGCGCGTATGTATGGGAATATCTTGACTGGAGGCGTGATGGCTGCTGTTGGGCTGAGCAACGCCCGAGTCTGCTCCTCCGGGTCCATGTTAGGTGCAAGCAGGAGGCAAGATAGCTCGACGTCGCGCGCAACGAGGTCGAGCTCGTCCGATGTGGAGCGGGTGAACTTGCGCGGATGGCCGTATGTAATAGACACGCGCGACGAGATAACACCCTCGGATCACTAGCAAACTAGTATAGATTGTGGTCTCGTACAGTGGACACTACCGAACCTCAGTCCCTCAGGACATGGCGGCTCGGCCAAAGATGTGCTTGGAAAACCACACTGCTTCGGTTCACTCGGCGCTGGCATCGGACGCGGCACCGTGTCCCGGACCGGTATCACCGAGATGGCGCGCGAGCGGGACCGACGACGGGCAGGAGCGCATCAAAGCGCATCTCTGCTGCCGACTTCCACCATGTCGTTGAGCGCGAGTGACAGCCGACATCTACCTGTCTGGGTTTATCTGATCCTTTCAGGGTGGACAAAGACGTCGGTCTGTTCGATGGAACATCGCGCTTGAAGCTTGCGAGTGTAGGCGCCTTATTGTTATGTCTCCCCGCTTCCTGTTTCCCATCAGAACCCGAAAGGACCGAATGCTCTGCGTGCATGGTGCAGTAATTGTTCAGCGCCTGCACGGCACGCAGGTCCGGATTCTCTGATGCGCCTTCACAAATACGTGGGACAGGTGGGGACCCGCGTTTCAAAAGGCTATTGTACTCAACTAGGCACGAGCGCCCGCGTCCTTTCACCTTTGCCACCACCACCTTCTCTTAGATCCTTCGGGCCACCGTTCTCTTAATTGTTTCTGTATCAGCACGCACTACAGCTTACGGTCTCACTCTTATAATAATCTCAGCCATGCGTTTCTTCACTTCAAGCAGTTCAGGCTCCCAGTCTCGCCCTCACACTCCAGCCGACAAAGCCAACATGGGTTGCTGCCACTCGGGACGCATCGACTACGAGCACGATCCCGTGCATCTCTGCCACTTCGATATGCATCGCGCAGTGGGCAAGGGCGCTTTCGGCAAGGTACGCATGGCCCTACTTATGGCTCAAGCTGCGGTGGCATACTGACGCCCGTGCCATTTAGGTCCGAGTAGTGCAACACAAGAGGTCAAAGACTACCTACGCCCTCAAGTACATCAATAAGCAGCAATGTATCAAACAAAAGTCGGTAGCCAGCATCATCCAGGAGAGGCATCTACTAGAGGAGGTATGTCTTTACTCAACGTATTCACCGTGTCTCGCTCACTCAGCGCCCTTCCTAGGTCAACCACCCCTTCCTTGTCAACCTTCGCTACGCATTCCAGGATGAAGAAAACTGCTTCTATGTTCTCGATCTTATGATGGGCGGGGATCTGCGATGTGCGTTGGAATTGTGCTTAGTCGCGCCCTTGTTCTCATAACGTCCACAGTCCATCTCAACATGAGGGGATGCTTCCCCGAACACGTCGTCCGCTTCTGGGTAGCCGAGCTCGCCTGTGGCCTCTCCTACCTGCACGAACAGCGCATCATTCACCGCGACATCAAGCCTGACAACATCTTACTTGACGCCGCCGGGCATGCACATATCACCGATTTCAACGTGGCCATTCACTACTCTTCGAGGAGGCGGCACACCTCGGTCGGCGGGACGATGTACTACATGGCACCTGAGATGGTTGACCCTGCGCGGCCCGGGTATTACTGGCAAATCGACTTCTGGAGTCTCGGCGTCGTCGCACACGAGCTGCTCTGGCACTCACGCCCATTCGAGGGGAACTCGGTCGAGAAGCTCACGCACAGCATTCTTTCCGATTCCATCACCGTTCCCCCGCGCGTTGTTCCCAAAATGGCGCCCGTAAGCCGCGAAGGATGCGGGGCTGTTCTTTCGGTACGTTCCTCTGACATCCTCGTGGCGATACAGCGCCCAACCTGATGCCTCTCTGACAGCTCCTTGACCGGAATCCCCATACTCGCCTAGGATGCCGCAGCATCGCCACCAGCCTCGGTGAGCTGAAGAGCCACCCGTGGTTCGCCAACTTGGACTGGCGGCGCCTGGAGAGGAAAGAGATGCAGCCGCCTTACGTCCCTGATGTTCGTGTCATTTGCGCCTGTGCTTTCTCCCGCCGTTCTGACATCCTTACAGCAGTCGCGTGCGAACTTCGATGTTGGCCTTGAGATGGACGACTACATGTCGGGCGAGAAGCGTCTCACATCCAAGCGCCGTGCCTTGCCGGACATGGAGAAGGTTTCTCCCGAACAACGCATCTTCCTAGAGCAGTTCACGCTCTTCGACTTCGAGCGCTCCCCTCGGTCATCGTACTTCCCTCGCAACGAGTCCATCGGCTCGTCCTCCCCGCCGTCCACCACGGGTAGCACGTACGCCGGACACTCGCGCGGGCACTCGCCGACAGAATCTGGACGCACATCTTCAGTACGCACATCGTCAGACCGATCTAGTACAACTCGCTACGGGGATCACACACAAGTCATTGTTCCCCCGACGCTCTTGGCTGGTTACCGGTGATCGCCCTTGTTTCGCTTTCGTGCACACCCCTTCCATTCATTCTGGCTCGATGCCCCTTGTTCTCCTTTCGCGCCTCACATCATCAAGACACTCTCTAGCTTCGTCGTCATAACTTATACCCCATCCGGAACAAAACCTACACGCCCTCATAATGGTCTCTCACTACTGTATAAGGCCTTCGTTCTCGCGTGCCCATTGTAGCATAACTATCCCGCCTGTGAATCCACCACTGTAGCCATATATGTATCTCCTTCACGTCATGATCTCTATACAACATCTTGTCGATACAATTTGCGTCGTGCGATGAGATACTACCAACACCTCTGATATCTCAGTGGGACCCAAGTAACAGACAAAATGCATAGGGCAAGTTCTCGGCAGTATTCAGTACGAAGTCACGCCACCGCGTTTGTTTGCCTTCTGTACGTCATGATCGTGTCGTGCACACCGACTTCCTCCTTCGCACCCAACCACCACCATCTCCCGCAGTCATCACACGAAACACTCTCGCTAGGCTACTGTACATGAGCAGAGTACTTAGAATGGCTCAAATACCGACCATTCGTGAACTCTATGCGCGCGGCGCGCTCAGGGCCGCCAATTCTCCGAGTGTGTTCCCTGCGGCAGCCAGTCTTCTCGACCGGATCTCGATACAGTCAGTATCTCGGCCTTTTCTCGGACTGCATAATGAATTGCACGATGTGATCTGGGTCGAGGGCGTCGGTATGCCCTGGCCTGCTGAGATGTGTTTGATGCTATTCTATCATGTCGGCCTTCTCAATGACCGTTTCCCTTACTGAGAGACCCACAGCAAAGGAGATATCACGAAGTTGGACGTGGACGCTATCGTGAACGCCGCAAACCGAAGTTTACTTGGTAGCACTCTTGACATGCGAGCATCGCTACGAACTTGCTGAAGATGTTACGCTAGGCGGAGGCGGAGGTATGGACCCTCCAGCCATACATCAAATCGCACACTCAATCAATGGATAGTCGATGGCGCGATACATCGTGCGGCTGGCCCCGAACTATACGACGAATGCGAAATGCTCGACGGCTGTGAAACCGGAGATGCGAAGATCACTAAAGGGTACCGTCTTCCAGCGTGAATGATACTGAGCTTCTTGGTATGTTCAGTACTGAGTGTAGTTTTCTTTTAGGCGCCACGTCATTCATACTGTAGGACCGGTATACTCTGCCTCCAAAGAAGACCGAGTCGCTTCCTTACTGGCGTCTTGCTACCGCCGTAGCCTTGAGCTCGCCTCCGAACATAGCTTGAAGTCGATCGTAAGGCTAGTTGACCCGTGTTTTTATACCGTGCTGATCATCCACCAGGCGTTCCCGTGCATCTCAACCGGCGTCTACGGTTACCCGAATGAAAAAGCAGCCCACATCGCTCTTCGGGAAGTGCGCACGTATCTCGAGTCGGACGCCGGGAAAGAGGTCAGTGCATGCCCAAGCTTATCCGGCAACCCACCCTGATGCCAGATCTAGATTGAACGGGTGATGTTTGTTGTTTTCTTGCCCATTGATTCAGAGGTGTATGAGTGAGTCCCTTCCGGCTATCCTCAGTGGGCAAATCATTGAGTACGTGTTCAGGCACCTCATGCCCCAGTACTTTCCCCCGGATCCGGAACCGGAGTGATCGATGTCAGTCGGTCAAATTGAACATATCATCTCTCCTATGTATCCTGCGCATACAGCTTGTCTTTACCTTGTATTCAACAAGAACGGCAATGCTACTTATCCGACACCGAGACTCTTTGGTCTTCGCGTCGCGGAAGCTCGTCTTGATCTTCTTCCCCGCGGGGTGATGTGTGGGGAAATGTGCCCGATCACATTGTAGATTGAACGTTCTGGTGCTGGTGGAGCTCGGAGAAGTTCTGTATTTCTCGTGCCTGTTTGTCGTTTTCCGGCGGCATTTCTCCCAACGGACCGGCCACGGGCCGTACCTCTCGTGACCCCTTTGAACAGTCCGCGCCGGCCCCGGACACACCTGGAGTGCCCACAAGCCCTGAGCGTTGCACGGCGCTCGACCTGACCTACTTAAGGTCGGCTTCGATGATTTCTCGGACTCGAGCTTCGTGCTTCTTCTTCCCCCAAGTGAACGTTGTCTTGTGCCACACCAGTCCATCATGGGCAAGGCATTCAACATCTTCACTGCGGTCTTCTGCAGTATCGGTACGTAATGCACCAGCACTACAGCCAATAGCAGCTCTAATACCTCTGTCCAGGCTCATTCCTCTTCGGGTATGGACATCATGTTGACTTTCTGTGTGGCTTCATGTTGAATGGATTCGTCCTCTAGTTATGACAGCGGTGTCATTTCAGCCGTCTTGACGATGAGCACGTTCAAGGATCACTTCCACAACCCGGGAGACTCCATTAGCGCCGCCGTAGTATCAACATTTGCGGGCGGTTGTTTCTTAGGTGCCGCTGCTGGATCCTGGTGCGTAGCCTAACATGGATGCGAAGATTCGACATTGAACCACGAAACCTAGGTTGAATGACAGGTTGGGCAGAAGATTAGCCATCCAAATTGGCGCATTCGTCGGCATAATCGGTGTGGCCTTGCAGACTGCAGCACCCAACATGGCTTGCATGCTTGTGGGCCGTATCGTGGGTGGAATGTCTATCGGGTGCGTTCAGATGCTATGTTGGTGCGCGACTTCTACTCACTAAATCTGCAGACTGCTCTCGATGTCGGTCCCCCTTTACAATGTGAGCGCGGACTGAATACGAGTGTGTATACGTCATACTGAGTGAAGCGCGTATAGACGGAGATCTCGCCTCCCAAGATTCGTGGCTTCATCGTTGGGCTGTCACAACAGATGCTCGGGATTGGTTTCATTGTGTGCGTACACCTCAAGCTCGTGCCTGTCGATGGCTGACCTTCTTCAACAGTGCGAACTGGGTTGGCTACGGCACTCAATTCATGAACACAAACGCGGCTTGGCGCATTCCCATCGGGCTTCAAATGCTACCAGCCGGGCTGTTGCTCGTCGGCATCCAGTTCCTCCCGCAATCTCCGCGTTGGCTCATCGAAGTCGGTCGCGATGAGGAGGCCCGCAAGGTCATCCGTCAGCTTCATGGCGCAGCTACCGATATTACCGCTGCCGAGGCCGACGCAGAATACGAGGTCATGGCTGCCGCCATCCGCGCAGATGTTGCGACACGGAGCAACAGCATCAGCGATCTCTTCAAGACGCGCTCAATGACATGGCGCACGCTTGTTGCCGTCGGAGTGCAGGTCTTCGGCCAGTTCACTGGTATCAACGGTGCGTCCTGATCTCGTTGATCCGAAGGACGTGTCCTTAGTTGCATATAGTCATCAACTATTACGGGCCTAAGATCTACAGCTCGCTTGGATACGGCGACGGTACCGTCGTCTTGATCCAGGGCCTCTTCAGTGCCGCGGGTCCTATCACAAATATCTTGTATGTTGAAGCACGCCTTGCGAAGCACACCCCACTCATTGTGCTCACAGCTTCATCTTGTTCGTCATCGACCGCGTCGGTCGTCGCAAGCCCCTCATCTTCGGTGCCACGGCCCTTGTCGTGCTCTTCTCCATCCTCGCCGCTATCATTGCAAGCTTCCCGCCCGACACGAACCACAATGCCTCCGCGTCAAAGGCAGGAATCGCCGTTGTCTTCATGATGACCATTGTCTTCTCTCTAAGCTTTGGACCTGTCTCATGGGTGCTTGCCAGCGAGGTGCGTGAAGATGTGTCTGATCATCGCGACGCGGGGCTCACCCTTTGATCAGGTCTTCCCCACTTCAACCCGGTCCATTGGCACGAGTGTTGCGACGTGCTCGAACTGGGCATTCAACGTCCTCCTCTCACAGGTGTCCCCGCTAGCCATGGACTCCATTGGCTGGAAGTTCTACATCATCTTCATCGTTCTCAACGCTATCGACGGCGGCCTGATTTATGGTGCGTGCAATTCCCATTGCCCTTGTGTCTGAGTTATAGACTGACTCTGTCAAGTCTGGTTTCCCGAGACCAAATCAAAATCGCTCGAGGAAATGTCGGCCGTCTTCGGAGACCACACAGAGAAGGAGGCAATCGCACAACACACCGCGCAGGATGCCAACAGCGACCATTTCGACGAAAAGGCCTGAGCGCGCGGGCATTCTTACTCATGACCATGCATGTTCACACGTTTTCATGATCATATTCTGCTGGGCTTTATCTTGCGTGTACAGTAGTTCTATAATCCACAGTCTCCATAACGCATACGCTGTGCCGGGCCAAACGCGACTTCGATGGGAGCTTGCGCTTCAGGCACGTGCACCCGCCCTCGACGCATTGGCGCATGCAGTGTGCGAGTGCCTTGTCCGATACCAATTGGTCTTGACCTAGGCAATACATAAGATAAATGACACGCTGACGCAACGGTATGCTATACACGCATGACATGACAGACACACATGACAGACACTGTATACGATGTAAAACTACATATCTCGCGGGATATACTCTGGCGGGGGTTCCTCGTGATCTCTGAGCATACCCTGCAGTTGACCTATCAGGCCGTGGATGGCCTGAGGATTGAGTTGAACTGCTGGCGTGATGGGCGACAAGTCTGCCATGGAAGGCGCAGGCGGTACCTGAACTATAGGTGACGCGTAGACTGTGGGTGTTTGGGGTCCTCTGTTGGGCTGCAGCGCCATGGGGGAAACAGGGTCAGACTGAAGCCGCGGCCGCGGGGTATTGAGAAGCGATAGGCTGGACGCAACGGGACTGCTCGTAGTCTGCGCAGTCGTAGGACTACCCATGAGTGATGGGAGTTGCGAACCACCTTCTGTTGCATACTTGCGATCGAAGCGAGACGGGGTGCCAGGCGACTCCAGAGAGCCCGGAGGGAATGGATCTGCTGCCATCGCATTGTTGCGCGCTTTGGCTTCCCCTACGTTCGCTGTGCGACGCCTGCGATAAAAGAATATCGCGAGGCCAAGAAGCGCTACAGCCGCAACGCCTCCTACCACACCTCCGGCGATGGCTCCGACGCTCGATGAATGGCCAGATACATTTCCATCTCCCGAAGACCCACTGCTGCCGCTGGAAGGCTCACTATCTCCTGATCCTCCCGTCCCGCTGGAGGATCCGTTGCTAGACACGGACGGTAGGCTTCCCGCGATAGCAAAGGCAGCGTTGAGCACATCGAGGGCACCAACGTTCCCCGTCAGATCCACCGAGTTGTCTTGTGCGCCCACCCATGACGTGGAGTACGTGTCCGCCGTGCTGTTGACAGTGGCATTCAGTAGAGAATTGAACTGTAGGTGTTGGTAAGTAGTGAATGGCAGAAAAGGAGACGTGGTCTTGCCTGAATCGTGATGTAGCCATCGACCAGGGTTACGAGATCCGATGCAGAGGGATTGCGGCGACGCGCTTCCAGTACACCTCGCATGAGCATACCCTTGAGGACATTCTGATAGTACGTCGGGTGCTGGGTGTCGTCTGCGATAGATATCAGGCCCCGTGATGAGGGTAAGAGATGAAGTAGTACGAACCTTCTGAAATCCTTCCATCAGCTGTATTCCAAGGCGCCGTGCTTTGGAGAGCGGCAGGAAGTACTTCTGCAAGCATGTCCGACCAAGTCGAGTTCCCCGAAACATTCGCCAAGACGGCGAAGCCTTCGATAGCAGCTCCAGATACCCATGATGAGAGTGCAGTGTTGAAAGAGCAAGACGTAACGTTGACAGAGTACGGCGCAAGACCCTGAGAATCGAGGAAAACAGTTTGAAAGAATGAAGCGGTGGCCTCCGCGTGTGTAAGGTAGTTGTCGTCCTTGGAGGTCTCGTACAGATAGGACGATAATCTGGTAGTCAAGAGTTAGACAACCGATTTGTGACGACGCCCGAGGACAAGACCCACGTTATATACATGGCCGTAACGAAGCTCCATATCGTTGGGTCATCCGGTGCATCCCTCACCTGAAGATGGTCAGCATCTGCGGCTTGTGACGGCCAATGGAGCTGGTCACTCACCAAGAATACACCGCCCGCCAACGACTTGCCCGTACAACCAGCAGTGACCTTGGCAGAACGTGGCAGCGTGCCATTCGCAGGTATGAAACTCTGCGTAACAAGCTGCCAGTTGTTGACGGCCAGACCCAGATAGGTATCATCGGCGGAATAAGCCCGGTGCGCGTAGTATGCTGCGAGACCCCAGTATAGGATATCCGAATTCCATGACTGACCTCCAAGTTAGCCTGGCGGCATCGCGTGTAGGCACGAGTAAACGCACTTCAACACCAGAGGAATTTGGGTATTCAGGCTTCTGGGTCTCGTAGACATCCAAGCTCTTCTGCACAGCGGCTTTATTGGTCGTGTTGCCGCTGAGCCAGTCCTGAAGAGCAAGCACCGCCACGAGCTCAGCTGCGCGGGCGGCATCAAATCCTACCAGGGTGAAGGATCAATGACCTCGCCGACATGAGCAGAATGATTACACGTACCATCGATGGTACCGAGAGCGCTGGTCATCTCCGCCACAAGTAGGGCTGCTGCGCGGCTCGCATATGCCTCACGATCTGCGAGCGACACGCTGGACTTCGTCTTCTATGATGCCCGATCAGCGCTTCGGCCATAATCGTTCGCCCATTGGGGCTACGACGTACTTCGGTTGACCATGTGCTGGGAAGCGCGTACGGGCTGGCTGCGCGTGCGAAGTGTAACGACAGAAGAAGACAGGCCCACAGAGCAGATAAACACGTGGGAAAGATGAGCATGGCTGTCACTCGCTGGCGCCTGGCGTACGCTCGAGCCCTGGGAACCGTATACGCAGCCCTCGCTTGCGCGCCGTCGCACGCCGGAAAGGAATTCGAAGATGGGAAGTTGGGCCAAGAGGCGATGGGCCGAGCAGGTCGTCAATGGCCCGGAGGATAAACATCATCAGAAGACCGTGTGCTGCAGTTGACCAGTGCCTGCTCGCTGGCTTTTCCGCGTCATGAAAGTGGATCACAGACATCAGCGGGATATGTCATGGATCATGACGAATGGACTTGTAGCCGCTATCGCGAGATACCAAAGATGCGATTTCAAGAGGGTATTTTGCCCAGTCTGGCTGTGAGCGCGAAGACGAACAGCGACAGCCGCGGCGCGGAAAGCTTTCACAGGTGCGTGATCAAGCGCCGTCGATCCGCATCAGCATACACCGGTAGACAGCCTGGGAATGCCCTATGTACAAGAACGGTGAAGAAAGATTACCAGCAGCGCCGATCGTAGCGGTTTGCATAGCTACACCGTACATGACGCCTTTTACTTAAATATGGAATCCTGTTCCACTGGGTGCCCATTCGCCGGAATACGCTGATCCGTCGGCTTCTCATGGTACGTGCACAGGCGAGATGTAGGACTCCGTGATGAGTACAATGAGCAGTTGCCGAATCGAGAACAGTCAGGTTTCTCGTTGGCTACGCGCACAACGAGACTATGTATGTTGTTGTATAGGAACGAGTTTGCCACCTGCATACGACCGTGTTACACCTGAAGAGCCTACAATACAACATGAAATGCGACCAAAGCCTCGTACTCGGGCTATGCGTCTCGCGGGATATATTCAGGCGGCGGCTCATCTTGGCTTCTGAGCATACCTTGCAGTTGACCTATCAAGCCATGTATAGCCTGCGGATCAAGTTGAACCGGTGGGGTGAGGGGTGACACATCAGTTGCGGGAGGTGCGGGCGCGGGTGGTGGTGTATGCGCTGTAGCTTGATGTCCCCTATTTGGTTGTAGCAGCAAGTGGGACGGATCTTCGGGTAGAGGTCGTGGCCGAGGTGCATTGACGAGCGATATACTTGAGGCGATGGGGCTACTTGACTCCTGAGCCGGCGGACTCCCTGAAAGTGTTGGAAGCTGTGTGCTGCCTTCCGTTGCCATTTTGCGGTCCAAGCGAGACTGGAATCCTGAAGACCCTGCAGAGCCCGGCGGGAAAGGATCCACCGCTGTCGTATGACCGCGCGACGTAGCTTCGCTTGTTTTCGTTCTGCGACGCCTGCGGTATAAGACCGCCGCGAGAGCAGCTAGCGCTAGGGCCGCGACACCACCCACCACACCTCCCACGATCGCCCCTACGTTTGAAGAATGGCTGGACATCTTTGGCCCTCCCGATGATCCACCATTACCACCGCCAGACGAGCCATTACCACCTGTCCCGCCCGAGGTGCCGTTGCTACTTACGGCCGGGAGGCTTCCCGCAATGGCGAAGGCAGCGTTGAGCACATCAAGGGCGCCAACATTGCCTGTGAGATCCGTGGAATCGTCTTGTACTCCTACCCAGGACGTCGAGTACGTGTCGGCGGTGCCGTTCACAGTCGCGTTCAGTACAGAGTTCAACTGCAGAACCTGATGAGCCGACGAAGGTATCGTACGAGGAGCGGTATTACCTGGATTGTGATGTAACTGTCAACCAAGTTCACGAGGTCTGACGTCGAAGGATTGCGACGGCGTGCTTCCAATACGCCGCGCATGAGCAACCCCTTCAAGACGTTCTGGTAGTGAGTTGGATGTGCGGGATCATCTGTGCTAAAGTGTCATGACCTAAGCCTTCGAGTGCGCTTTCAATTGCATACCTTCCGATATCCTCCCATCAGCCGTATTCCAGGGCGTTCCTGGGCTCTGCATAGCAGCGGGTAGTATCTCGGAAAGCATATTCGACCATGTCGAGTTCCCAGAGACATTGGCCAGAACCGCGATCCCCTCGATAGAAGCGCCGGAGACCCAAGAAGATAATGTAGGGTCGAAGTCGCACGATGTAACGTTGACAGAATAAGATGCAAGGCCTGCAGGGTCGAGAAAAACGCTCTGGAAGAAAGAGGCCGTGGCCTCCGCGTGCTGGAGATAATCGGTATCATTCGTACTCTCGTAAAGGTATGCGGAAAGCCTTCAACCAGGAATGAGTGCATGGAGAGGGGACGCTAAGCGCAGATAAGACGTACGTTATGTACATGGCAGAGACAAAGCTCCATATGGTTGGGTCGTCCAAGTCATCTCTCACCTGATTTCTTTGAGCTCTCATGTTCACGCGTAAGAAGAGTCGGTAAACTCACCAGAAAAATACCTCCCGCGAGCGATTTGCCCGCGCAGCCGGAGGTCACTTTCGCAGAGCGGGGTAGTGTTCCATTGGCAGGAACAACACTCTGAGAGGCTAGTTGCCAATTATTGACAGCAAGGCCCAGGTACGGATCTCCGTCTGGGTAAGCCCGATTAGCGTAGTAGGCAGCAAGACCCCAGTAAAGGGTATCGGAGTTCCATGACTGATGGTTGCGTTAAGCCTGGATTGATGCATACTGAGAGCAGGTGGACGTACCCCAACTGCAGAGGAGTCCGGATAGGTAGGTTTCTGTGTCTCGTAGATGTTTAAGCTGGTTTGCACCGCGGCTTTGTTCGTGGCGTTTCCGCTGAGCCAGTCCTGTAGAGCAAGCACAGATACTAGCTCAGCTGCCCGAGCAGAATCGAAGCCTGTATCGTTCAATGTTTAGAGCATTGATCCTTTGGACGTCTGAATCACATACACACCATTGATGGTACCAAGCGAGCTTTTCATCTGGTCAACGAGCAATGCGGCCGCGCGACTCGCATACCCTTCGCGCTGTGCAAGCGAGAGGTTTGATGATGTCTCCTGCGGCTTTGGTCAGACAAGTAAATCCAGTCATAGGAATACCAACGCACACTGCCGGACCACGTGAATGGAATCGAATATGGGCTTGCTGCACATGCGAGGCGTCCGAGGAGTAGAAGCCAGCCGCACAGGGTGATCAGACGCGTGTGAACAGACGACATGGCTCGAGTCGAAGAGGATGGCACAGAGGAGGCCAGTATACGCTCGCAGCTCCCTGCTTTCGCACTGTACGCAGCGCCTGCGTCGAGCCAGACGGGCGAGCCGCCGAGCAGGAGATGGAGGGAACTGCCAGGTCCTAGGGCTGTACGACAAATGCATACATTTCCTCAACCGAAAGCGGGATGTCATCAGAGGGCCGTGGGCTGCCAGAGCCCGCTATGTCCATCGTCTTTCCGTCTTCAGGTCAGATGAGCGGCTCACGATGCCCGGATGTGTCGCAGGACGCCGCCGTACGAATAGGAAAAGACATGTCGTCCATGCGATCAGGTTCTGCCTGTGTGATGACCTCCGGCTGTGAGAGTAGAAGCCAAGGGTCCGTGGACCGATGCGGTCCGGAAAGCCAGAGTAGCCACGTGCGGGACCACTTCCAAATTCTACGCTGCGTCTTGCTCCTTTACACCATCAGCGTTTGCACCCGCAGGTGCCTCAGCGCCGACACCTCCATACCGTCATGCTCTTCCGCTAACTACGAGGAAAGCGACTATGGCAACCAGTCCCAGGACCTTGGATGATCTACCTGTCGAGGTGCGTCTCATATGATCAGAGTATACTGGCATGTGCTGACAATATATCTCAAGCTGCTCTATGAGATATATGTTTATGCCGCCGACGAGAATCTGCCTCTGACGTCTCGTCATCTACTCGCTGTGTTCCGGGGCGCACCGACGCATGTGCACGCAGAATATATAATCAATCGGCACACGAGAGCACAAGCAAAGTCCAGGACCACACTTGTCACACGCGCCCTACGCTACCCGATATGCAACGAAGGCGTACTCGAAGCACTGCTGCGGCATCCAGACCGACCCTCTGTCGGTGACGAGCGGCCCACCCTCCCGCGGCGCCTATTCAGCGCGCTCAACGACAGTCGTCCCGGCGGCTGGCGTGATCGCCACGAACCGCTGCCGTTCTTGCGATACCTCTACTCCCACCCGCGAATACCACCGCCAGATCCTGATTCGCACGAAGGCTACCCGCTCGCTCGCGCCGTAAAGGCAGATTTCCGGCCACTCATCGAGTTTCTACTGGCGCAAGGCGCGTCACCGAAGTTCAAGGACGGACTGTCGATCAAACTTGCCATCCAGAGGCATGACCTCTCTCTCGTCAAGTTGCTCGTTGAGCCCAGCGAAACTGGCGTGGCGGGCGTGAAGACCGGTGGGAAGCGACGTCGAGTGTCGGATCGCATGGTGCTCGGTCCGGCGCACCTCCGTGTCGCGGTGCAGGCTCAAGCGGACGACATCGTCGATTGGCTTGTGCGGGAGAAGCGCTGCGTACCAGATATACGAACGTTGCACTCCCTGGGCCTGAGGAAATGATGGAGATGAGGACTCCGAAATGCGCCCCTGCTTGTCTTGTACTGTAACGCTGTGCATTCTTGCTGTATCTTTCTGCTGTTCTTGAAGACGAATAAAGCTTGCCGTCGGATCATTCTGTCATTGGCCTGTCCCGCTTCACAATGCATTGCTCCATGTCGATCCTGGTGAACCAATGGATGTGCCTTTGCCTTCCAGAGCGGCAGATAGGAACACCACATCGGGTCGGCGCCACATTGACTGACAGATGCTGTCGAATGGCGTACTAACGTTTCGCATCTCTGAATGCAATCTGGATGTTCGATTAAACGAGGTTGTTCTAACCCGCCACAGGTCCTACCCTCGCCATGTCGTCCGCTATAAGCAAGGAGGTGGCCATGCCTCCGGAGTTATACCAGCGACTGAACTCGGATCCTCGAACTTTGACGCCCGGTCCCTCTCGCGAGCCCTCTCGGTCCTCGGAAATTCCCTCTGGACTTCGGCTCGGCGACATCCCTACGACCAGCTACCTCACCGCTAGCGCGTACGCGACTCCTGGCCTAGAAAAGGACGATCCATTCGGGCAGAGTCGTAGAGTTGGGCAGTTGGCCAGGAGAGTACACGGTTGGAGTTGGCAGGCTTTTCCGGTGGGGATGGGTACAGGCGCCGTGTACGTTGCATTTCACGCGTCTTGACCGCATGCTGATCCGTATGTTATCTAGCTACGTTGCGCTGAGCGGGCTGGACATCAGCCAGAAACTTGATACCTGGAGCGACAAAGTCGAGACGGTCTTCTTCTTCCTCAATCTGCTACTTTTCGTAATCAACCTCTCGACTCTGGGCGCGCAAGCCGTGCGTACGTACCAATCTCACTCTGTCTCTTCCCGCTACGGTACTCATCATCCACAGTATACCCCCGTCAGGCTCGACGCCTCATCACAGATCCCTCCAAGAACATCTTCGTCCCCCTCGTAGTCCTGTCTTTCGCCACACTAATTATCGGTACAATCAACTACGCCGTCGTCCCAGGCCTCATCCACGCCGACCTTGTCTACGGGCTCTTCTGGCTCTACGTCGCACTAGCAGTGCTAGTAACGTTCCCGCTACTGATGCTATGGTTCAACCGACCGCACGACATCTCGACATTCACGCCCGCATGGATGTTCCTCATCTTCCCGCTCATGCTCGTGGGCGTTGTAGCATTCAACGTTCTCAAAATCATGGACCCCTTGGATTCGCGTACTGTCGGCGTACTCTACGTCGGGTACTTCTTTCAGGGTATCCCTAGTTACGATGTGCTACATCGCGATCTACATACTTCGGCTGATGATGGCAAGTCCAGTCTCTTCCGTACGTCGAGCGACAGAGAAGACTGACAGTGGCGACAGACTGGATTCCTGGAAGGCCATCAGGCGAACGGGGCCTTCGTGGCGTGCGGCCCACCCGGCTTTACCGCGCTCGCATTGATCAACCTCGGTGCACAAGCGCGCAAGATGTGCGTTGCACCCTTCTTTCTTTCCATCCCTATCATCTCCGCCTACTCACGCATTGTCCTTGACAACCAGCCTCCCAGCGCACAACCTCGTATCCGACCTCGCCGGCGAAGTCTGGTACGCCTCCTCAGTCCTATGCGCCTTCCTCCTCTTCGGCCTCGCCATCTTTCTCCTCGTCTTCGGCGCGCTGCCCTACTGGTTCAAGCTGCACAAACACCTCCACGAGATCCTCGGCTGCTGGGCCCTCACTTTCCCAAACGTCGGCTGGATCGGCTCCCTGGGCGCATTGGCAGATGCGCTGGGCATACCAAAGTTGAGGATCGTGCAGACGGTGTGCGCGTTGATGCTTGTGGGCGTTTGGGTCGTGTTGGCGGTGTTGACTGTTGTGGCGTTTTGGAGGGGCTTGATATTGAAGAGTCATGAGGAGAGTGTGTTGGCGGATACACCACAGGATAAGGGCGGGACGGGTGGTGCGCAGGCGGAGGTCTGAGGCCGCGCCCAATACATACCTATGTCAGACTATACCCGGACTCGTTATGCACACTAGCGTCATGATGCATGTTCACGTCGACGTCGATGAGACGGCGGCGCAGCTCGACCGTTATCCCCGCGGTGGCCCTGGTGCGGCGGGACCGAATTGACAGCTTCCTTGACATTCGCCACAGGCACGACCACTTTTAGTCCACAGTTCAGAGGAAAGTCCAGCAATCCAATTGCGCGCAAGTAGAGTGGCTAGACTATGTACAGAGCAACGCGAACGAGCAAACAATATATCCACAGATAGTGTAACAGTTGGGCTGGCATCCTCAACCGCATGTGAACGATGCGAAGCGGGAGGAGGCGGGTAGGGCGAGGGAGTGCGAGGAAGGGCGAAGGAGAGTAGCGGAGTATCAATAACGGCCCAAATAGACAGAGAGGGGTAGCGGAGAGGTGATGGTACATTGGTTTCAGGAAACGGGGTGATAGGGTGGGGAAATTCCGGGTGGTGAAAGAGCGAGGAAAGCAGGTCTGACGGAAGCAAGCAGCCGTGCGTATGGGGTGATTGTCAATGAGGGTGGCGATCCCAGGTCGGAAGGCGAATAGAAGACGGGGATATTGTGGGAGCGAAAATGGGGTACTCGAGCCTGAGTGGCGAGAGGGAAGGTTAGAGTTGGTCTGTCGAAGTCGACAGCGAAGATGAGAAGAAAGAAAAGCAGCGGGACGAAATTGGGATGAGGGGTTGGGATGATGGTACATATTCACAGTGCGTCCACATGTAGTGCGGAACGCATTACGAAATGATACGAGGGAATACCGAGACAAGCAAGAGACGTAGTGGAGCAAGGAGAGTAGATGTAGGTATAAAATCCGGTTGAGCGAGCACAAGAAAGAACGTTGCGGGTTTGCTATGGGAACAGTGAAGGAAAGTCTGCGAGGAAGCACGAGCGGGCCAGAGAATAAGATACAGCGGGTGAACCAGAGATCAGTGCGAGCAGCTGCGGTCTGTTTTGCAAGAGCAGGCATGCGTGCGTGAATCGCCGAACCCCGTCGGGCCTAGCGCAGCTCGAAAGCGCTCTCTAGCCCGGCGACGCCATGTAGAGCGATGGCTCCTTCGAGTAAAGAGTCCTCTGCGGGACGCGCAGCGTTGAAACTGATACGCCGGGGCGTGCGACGCAAAGGACGGGCAGTGATGGCGGGGCTCGGCTCGAGCGTGGGGATCGACACACGCAAGTGCGGGTGTGGATTATTGAGGGGCGCAGGCCGTGCCCGCGAGCGGCGGGGCGGTGTGCGCGCGTCTGCCGTATCCGTGTTGACCGGGGTAGCCTTGCTAGGACTGGTGGGCATCGGCAACTCCGGGCCGAGGATGGACGGATTTCGGCGGGCGTTCATGGGGCGCTTCGGTGTCGGACGGGCCTTCTTTGCGTTGGCAGCCCGTGCAACTTCCTCTTCATCCTCGGAAATCGAATCCCGGCGAGGTGCCATAGCGGAGTAGGAAGACATGCGCTTGAGAGGGGAACGGCGCGGGAAGCCTCTGGGAACGGGCGGCAAGCACGAATAGGATGAAGTGGAAGACATCGAGGACAGGGTCTTGATGGAAGAAGACTGCGACGTGGGACGGGAGTAACGGGTGTTGGAGGTGCCATTGGACCGAAGCGTTGTAGATGATGGGGTTGACGGCGAGAGCGGATGGTGATGGGAGGGTGTTGGGAAGATAGAGTTGTGTTCCTGCAATCGTCCAGAGGCCCTGCGCGTCGTCAGCAATCAGCAATCGTACCGAACTCGTATTTGCTTACTTGGAAAAGGCGTCGACTTGGCTGTCCAGATTGGCGGCCTGGATAAAGTCCATGCTGGAAGCACGCGCGAGGGGGCGTTTCCGAGAACGAGTGGGGGACATTTGTATATTCGTCGAGTCGCGCAAGCTTGCGGTCGTCGACTCTACGTTCTCGTCGATCGTGGCTGGGACGACCGTCGTTCCGCGAGCGAGCTCTACGAGCTTCTGTCGTGTTTGGCGGACGGAGTGGGGCCACTCGTTAGGACCTTTGGCCTGAACGATGCCTCGCGCGAGTTTGTCAAGAAGGTTTGAAGGAGGGACTGCGCCCGTATAGGGCGTAAGAACGTTTTGGGGAACGGCGTCCAATGTCTATAGCACTGGTTAGCATTGTTCTTTGAGACTGAACATTCCCGCGCACCCTTGAAAGCAATATTAATTGGTCGTGGGACCATGAAGCCTCCGAGTCGTCGTCAGCTATAGAGTTCCAGCTGTCTGAGCTCTTTCTGTTTGAAGAAAAGAAAACAGAGGCGACGGGAGAGCCCAAGGATGGTGTGCGGGGGCTCTCTGGCCTGGAACGGCGGCGATTGCCGGAGGGCGGGTGGGGCATTAGGTAGGCTGCGAGTGATAGCATAGACTGGAGCGAGGGAGCGTCGTGGGACGCGGCAGCAGGGGGCGCGTCTGTGCTCTGAGAATGGTCGTGGTTGATGTTCAAGTCGCGTCCAAAGCAAACGATCACGCGCTCCCGGCTTAATACTGACTCGTCATTTTCGCCTGATACGGCTCGCTTCATATCTATAATGGCCCTTAGCCTTCCTCCCCTGATCCGCACCCGCGCCCACTCCTCCTCTTGGTCGATTACCCTTGCGACAGCAGTGTTACGATCCTCAGTCGCTCGACACTTCCCGGACAATGCACGAATAAAGGCGAACTATCATTCAGTTCTGCGTCACTCCATTCCACGCACCTCACGGCGGAAACTGCGCGGCCTCGTTTTGTTGTCAGTTCCTCGAGGCAACCTTCTCCAGTTCCCATCAACGTCTTCAACGGCACCTCTCACGTTCTTCTGATCAATTCACGGCGCTTGTCGTCGCGATTGTAATCCGATACCGGGGTACGTGCCCCAACAGCTCGGCCTGACAGGCCACGTTGCGGCAACGGGAATTCCCGCGGAACGATTAAAAGTTCCCACGTATGTAAAACGTACGTCGGCCAGTTTCGGCGCCAAAGCGCGAAGCCAGAACAATGCTTGGGCGATGTTGTGTGGTCAACGTGGCTCTTGCCGGTCGATACGCTTCATAACTCGGTCGGAGGGGCGATACGAGAGGTGTTGCATGCAAGTACGACGTCGTGAAGCAACAGCATCGGCGTTGCCGCGTCTGTTTTCCGAACGCGGTCGGTCGCTACTGATGGTCCCAGACCCGCGAGAGCAACAGTACATATACGTGCATACAAGTCCTCGCCTGGGAGTCTCTTGCGGTGCGCCGGAAACGTCGGTAGCGGTGTTACTGGTGATGGGATTCGAATGGCAGATCGTATCCTGATCTATCCTGATGTCGAGGACTCGAGAGACAAGCCACTGACGTGCACCCAAGAATGGTAGGTGGTGACGAATAACGAACCCCGGAGGAGAGCATACGTTGGGCTACTCCGACACTTGTACAATGGCATCAGGTTGAGACGTCGACCTTGGATGTCCTTCCCATGCGTGGGCGATCGCTTCCACCTCAAAGATATGCTTGGGATGGCCGCCAAGTCGAAAACGGTTTACTATGGCCATGTCGAGGAAAGCCTGTTCTACAAGAGATACAGTATCGCCGTGCTCTCCGAAAGCGCAGCAGTCCGGACGTGCAACCAGTAATGAATGAAACGGGTATCATTCCACAAGAACAACGCGTGTGAAAGCAGATCATATGCGGATAGTATATGTAGCAGAGACGCTTTTGTACATGGTAGACTAGAGGCGACGTGACAGGGGAATGTGGTTTAGCGGGAGGACGATGGTGGTCCGAGTCAACCTCCACTCGTCGAGAGCGCTGCAGCGACCAAGCAGCGACCTCCGCGTCGCGCTCGTTGCTTTCACCCATGACGGCCGTCCACGGCACTCTAACATTATGTTTTCATCTATGTACCCGCTCGCCATACACGCCTTATGGAAGTCGCCATGAACACCAAGAGTCCAAGAGTTGACCGAAATGCCCGCTTATGGTACCCGGTTAGACCGAGCGTCCCCGCCTGATGCTTGCGCATCTAGCGGACATGCCTTCTGCATGCACACGTACGCGGTGCGCTGAGTATAGGGTACCAGGGATATGCGGTCGCAGAATCCACAGCGTATACCTGTGGTGTGTAGGTATCGGGAGGCTTCGGGTTGGTCCCGGGTTGGGGAGGGCGATATCGGCGGGCGGGGGCCGCGGCGCGCCAACGTGAGGAGGCGAAACTCTCCGCGATTCTGGATTTTCCAAGGCCCGCCTGGGTCCGTACTCAGAGCTGGGGGTCTCGGTCAAGACTCGGCCTTCAGATACTCGTGTTTTCGTAGTGGCAAGATCCATTGCCGGCGCGCGTCTGCGCCCCAATGATTCTCGGATGCGTCTACCCCAAGCTGATATGGATACAAAGGCGGGGCGGTCCAGGGTCCCTGCGATCTCCAGAGGGCCTCTACTCGTCTGAGTACTCTTTGCTACCACTGTCCGCGGCGCTCCCGCTGTTGCATACTCGCCATGGCTCCAACAACGGCCGCGAAGCCTGATCCGCGCCCGATCGACCTCGACCTACCCGACAACTATGTACAGCAGGAGCTCTCGAAGGAGAAGGACTTGCAGCCCATTACCTGGGACTACGCCATCCATAACCTTCAGTGGCTTAGCATTGCTATTCTGACGATAACGCCCTCCATTGCGATCTATGGCGCTTTGACAACAACGTTGAAGTGGCAGACCTTTGTTTGGTGTGTTGTATACTACTTCATCACCGGATTGGGTACGTCTTCTACTATTGCACATCGAAGCATCCCTCACTTGTCACAGGTATCACCGCTGGGTACCACAGACTGTGGGCACATCGGTCCTACAACGCGTCGCCGGCTCTGCAGTACTTCCTCGCCGCGGCCGGAACAGGAGCAGTGGAGGGCAGCATCAAGTGGTGGTCCCGCGGTCACCGTGCTCACCATCGCTATACTGACACCGACCTCGATCCGTATGACGCAAGGCGTGGCTTCTGGTGAGCGGTACACCTTCACACTCGCACTGTCCGAGGCTGATGTCTGTCGACTAGGTACTCGCACGTTGGCTGGATGCTGATCAAGCCTCTCCGTCGCCCCGGCGTCGCAGACGTATCCGACCTCTCGCGTTCGACCGTAGTCAAATGGCAGCACCGCTGGTACATCTACTTGATCATCGGCATGGGCTTCGTCTTGCCGACCGTCGTCGCCTGGCTCCTCTGGAACGACGCGCGCGGCGGATTCTTCTTCGCCGGTGCGGCTCGCTTGACGTTCGTGCACCACAGCACCTTCTGCGTCAACTCGCTGGCGCACTGGATTGGAGAGACGCCTTTCGATGACAAACACACGCCTAAGAACCACTTCATCACTGCTGTACGTTTCTTGACTTGTACGATCCGTATTGTCTTTTGACGATGACTCTCAGCTCGTGACGGTCGGTGAGGGCTACCACAACTTCCACCACCAGTTCCCGATGGACTTCCGCAATGCGATCAAGTGGTACCAGTACGACCCCACCAAGTGGTTCATCTGGGCATGCAGCAAAGTCGGTCTTGCCTCGCACTTGAAGGTATGCGACCTCCCCCAGGACCTTACCCTAGTTGTACTGACAAGCGCCTCAGACGTTCCCGGATAATGAGATCAAGAAGGGCGAGCTCACCATGCAACTCAAGCGTCTCCGCGCCGAGCAGGATGCCATCTCGTGGCCCTCTGACACTCATGACCTTCCCGTCGTCTCATGGAAGACCTGTACGTGTCACTCCATCTACAGCAGGCGATTACTCACTCGTCTCATATAGTCCAGGAGCAGGCGGCGGAGCGCCCACTCATTCTCGTCGCTGGCTTCGTTCACGATGTCTCTTCCTTCCTGAACGAACACCCCGGCGGCCGTCACCTTCTCGCGAAGTACGTCGGCAAGGATGCGACTACAGCCTTCTTTGGCGGTGTATACGACCATTCTAACGCTGCACACAACGTTCGTTACGAATTCTTTACCTGACTGACTGCAAGGCTGACCGATACACTCTAGTTACTTAGCATGTTGCGTGTCGGTGCCCTCGACGGAGGTATGCCTCATATCACCGAGGAGAAGGCCGTTCCTCCCAGCTTGCGTCTCCGCGTTGCTCGCAACAACGAGCTCGCGAGCCCTTACGGCACCAGCGCAACCTCTGGAGACGATCATGACAGCGACGGTTTGCTGGGGTGAAACTTGATCACACAGCATTCGTCACGCCCGCGGAAGTTTGTATACATGTAGGCACTGCCGTTGTACATATCATAGACGACTCACGAAGTCACTTTCACGATCTACATGACACCCAGTAAGGGCTTCGGCTCGTATAACTCCTCAAGATACTTCATCTCGTCAACGTCGAGCTTGATCTCGAGAGCTCCAAGCAAGTCCGTCAGCTTCTCCAGGCTGGTAGTGCCGATGATGGGCGCGGACACGATGTCCTTGTGTAGCATCCAAGCGAGCGAGAGCTGTGCCATTGTGCAATTCTTCTTCTTAGCCAGCTCCTCGACGCTAATAGCAAGTCAACATCGAACCATGCGTGGATTCAAGATGTACTCACCGCTTGATGGTCTCTTCGCCGCCGCCACCGAGATACGCCTTCGTGAAACGAACGACACCAGGGTCTGACGTGTCACGCGAAGAGTCTGACTTCTTGTCAACGGGGCGTGTAAGAAGACCGCGCGCAAGCGGGCTCCAGGGGATAGATCCGACGCCATAGTGCTGCATGCTTCCATGAGAATGGCAGATAGCAGAACGATAAATGACTGCAGTACCTTGAGCGCGCCCATCATCTCTCGTTCCTCCTCGCGATAGATCAGAGAATAATGGTTCTGCATTGAGATGAAAGGGGTAAGCCCGTGTTGTATGGCATAGCCTGTGAAACAGGATCAGACACGAGCAGAACAGAAGAACAGAAAGAGGGCTGACTTTGCATGGCACAGAACTGCCAAGCGTAGCAAGAGCTCATGCCGATGTAGCGGACGTAGCCCGCCTTGACGACATCGTGCAGTGCCTGCATGGTCTCCGCAATCGGCGTATCATAGTCAAATCTATGGCACTGCAGCAGGTCGATGTAGTCGAGCTGCAGACGCTCGAGACTGTGCTTGACGCTCTCGAAGATGTGCTTGCGACTCCTATGGACATGTGTTGCAACGTTTAGAAAAGCAATCATCATGTTTAAAGACGGCAAAAAACGCACAAGCCGTGCTGGTTCACGTAGCCATTCTCGTCTTCTTTCCAGTTCGGGTTTTGGAACCTCGATGTTTCTCCAGGGGTGCGTGTAACGAGGGCATATACCTCTGTTGACCAGTCAGATCAACACACGAATGAGCGGCGGACAGAACGCACTGGTCATGACAACTATCTCATCGCGAGGCAGGTTGTGCTGCTTGATAGCTTTGCCAAGAACGACCTCTGAGAGACCGGCGCTGTATACCTGTGTTCAGCCACTTCATGAGTGACTGCACCCTTTGCATTGACAATCAGCTCACGTTCGCCGTGTCAAACGTTTGTATCTGTAGACAGATGTCAGCATGACCTGGTTACTTGGGTTACCGTGGCCTCCACTCACTCCCGCGTCATAGGCTGCTTTGATATGCTTGATACCCTCCTCTTCGTCAAGCACCCAGTTCATCCATTCAGACGAGCCTATCGATGCGTAAGCCACAAATGTATGCGTCCAGTCGAGATGGGTGTGCGTACCATACGACATGCAACCAAGGATGATACGAGATACTTTCAAGCCCGACTGGCCTAGGCGAACTGGGGTTGTAAGTCAGTCACTTAGACGAAGGAGACTTGGTTTAAAGCGAACCGTATGGGATCTTGCGCGGGAAAATGGGAGAGCTCATGACGCTGGGGTGAGGGTAACGTTGACGTGTGGAAGGCCGTGAAGAGGCTGATGAAAGTTGAGAAAGACTCCTCGGGTCTTTATACACGACGAGCGCTCACGATGGTGTTGGGCATTCCGCCTGCACGTGTGGCGAGTCTTTACCCACTCCCTCCCGGGCGATCGCAGTCTGGAAAAGGCATAGCATCAGCAACTTGAGTCCACCTGTAGCACTGGTCGTTCAGTGACCCCCGAACACGGGCATAAGCAGCCAGGTGCTGCGGAGGAGCATGTGGATCATCGCTATCTGTCATGTTATGCGGATATGCGAAGCGAACTGGCGAGTGTGCACCGGAAGCATGGGCTGCAGTGGGAAATGCCGCGGAGTGTTGAGTCCGGTTCGTTCGCGGCTGCGACGAAATTTGGCATACATGCACGAAGACCTGGCATCGAGTACCCGATATCTCCATATAGCCAAAAAGCATGTTAGGTGTTGATAGCAGATACGAAGAGACTGAGTGAAGTCAGGCTTCCTTTCGCCAGCCGTCGTGCACGATCGCAATTTTTACATTTTGGTTCGAATTTCGGCGCGTACAAGAGCCGTCAGTTAACATGTTGCCAATGCTGATACATCGATATGCTAGACAGTATTGGAAGCTTGGTTGAGGGCGCAGTGTTAGCGTGGTGGTTTGCGTCAAGAAACGGAGCGCGAGCCTCCGGTTGAACCGACGGGGTGTCAGCACTTTCCCATGGGCGCGGATCCTTATCGATCCCTACAGGTTCATGTTATCCCGTCCGAGTAGTATACACTAAGAGCACGATAACATTGGATGGATCTAATATACAAATGCTACAGAACAAGATATGTCCGAGATCCTGAGTCGTACGGGATAAAAGACAGCTTATGCACCAAGGACCCTCTTCACGTCCTCCTTCTGGCTGGCCGAGAGACGGTCAGGGAAGGTGACCTCCCAACGGACGAGGAGATCGCCCCGTCCTGGCGTCGGCTTCCTGTACTGGAAGCCTTCGCGCAGTACCCGTGTCTCCTGGCCCGGCTTGATGACACCGGCAGGTATGTTCACCTGTAGCTTCCGTCCGTCAGGCAGCGTAATGGTGCGCTTGCCGCCTTCGCTGGTAAGCGCCTCGACAAGGGGTATTTTCTCCTTCACAATGAGATCGTTGCCGTCACGCGCATACTTCTCGTGGGGCTTCTCCTCGACGACGAAGACGAGGTCTTGCGCATCTCCGCTGGCGGTTTCGTTGCCTGCCTTCGGGAAACGCACTTTCGTACCGGGCTTCCAGCCAGGCTGAATGACGATCTCCACCATTTTATCCTCTTGTCGTCCATCTGCAAGTTTCCGGCCGACCTTCAGGTGCTTCGTCGCGCCGGTGTAGAGGTCCTCGAGCGAGACCTTAATCGGTCGTGTTACTTCTGCGGGAGCGGCTGGTGAAGAGGGGCCTGCGCCGAATCCGGACGCAGAGCGTGATGGTCTGGGACGGCCGCCCATGCCGCCAGGCATCCCACCGGGCATCCCGCCGAACGACGAGAAGCCGCCCATATCGTCGTCATCGTCGTCATCGTATGCGGCGCGCCGTGAAGTACCTGAGGTCCCGGGGAAACCTCCCATACCGCCCATACCATTCATGCCGCCCATGCCACCATTGAGGAAGGTCCTGTATTACTTGTCAGCGTGGACACGAAGAGGCGCGATGCACGGAAACTTACTCAAAGATCTTCATGGGGTCGGACGCCTGGAATCCACCACCACGACCTCCACCGAAGCCTCCGCCTGGGCCAGACGTGAAAGTGAATGTTGATCCACCGCCAGGGAAGCCGCCAGAGGAGAACCCTGCGAACGGGTTGCCGCCGGCACCGGCACCAGGTGGAGGGCCGCCTCCGCCCTTGAGGCCCTCTTCGCCGAATTGGTCGTAGATAGTACGCTTTTGCTTGTCACTCAAAACTTCGAAGGCCTCTGAGATCTGCATGGAAGGCGTCAGAACAAGCGCTCATACATCAAGAGATATCGGTTATACGCACCTCCTTGAACTTCTTGCTAGCTTCCTCTGAGCCTTTGTTACGGTCAGGGTGCCATTTCAATGCCTGCTCCAAGAGTCAGTACTGAGACGGACATGCGCCAAGGCATGTACGCACCATCTTCTTGTATGCCTTCTTGAGTTCATCTTCGGATGCGTCTCGGCTGACGCCGAGTAGTTTGTAGTAGTCGGTACCCATGATAATGCGGGATGAGTGGGGTGAACGTGAAGTATAACGTGGGGGGTAAAAGTCGTTCGCGACGAGTCAAGGCAAGAGGCAAGATAAACGGTGGGCGAGCGAGCCGAGAGTACACAGGACATAGCGGGAACACGCCAGAACATGCGACGTCACCTAGCCGCTCTATGGGCTTCGTTCGAATTCCATTCCGGTTGGCTCGCGAACTGTGCCGCGTTTTCGAGAGTCCATGCAGTAGTATCGATGATCAGAGATAGTATGCCATATGCAGTGCTCTAGGTAGACGGTAACAATGAGTTGTAAGCAGTAGAGGGTGAAGGAAGGAGGAAAGAAGGGCAGGGAAGGACAATGGCTAATAAAACGCGATCAGGTGACATTCAGAGCGTCGTGTTCGAGGGGCGTTACTCTGTTCGAAGTAACGCGGCCAGGCGTTGTTCTACGGCGCTTTAGGCTCAGGCATACAATCACCTACGACCACATATCAAAGGTGGGCGATTGTCAATCTGGTCGAAGTGCTAAAGGTGCCAAAGAGGTCCTGCTAATTGCAAGCCCTCTACTCTGGACGGTCACACGTCACGAACTTCAATTGGTCACCATCACATTTCTGGTCTTGGCTTCGGCATTCCGTCAGTTGCTCAGAGCGACCACTAGCGTCGCCCGCGCCACTCTCAGAAACGTCCACTTGATGTGCATATGTTTAAAACCGTTGCCTCCGGTATGACGGCATGCCGCTAGACCGACAAGGCCCGCAACCACGGTCATGGGATCATCCGCATTTCCCCACATCTGTCATACGCGACCTTTAGTTCGTCCGACTCGCAGACATCATATGAGCGGCAGATAGCATATGAACCATGCTTGATCTCCTGGCTCGTAGGCTAGAGGTATTCTCCGACTACCATGGTTCTTAAGGGTGTCGGCGACTGGGCTCGGGTTGTCTCTGCGCATCTCCCACAATCCAAGCTCCTCCGGCTCGCTCTCTGCTTTGTCGTTCTTTCGCTCGTCCGCAGGATGCGATCATTGAAGAAGGGTAGAGGATTAGTCGAAGACCTGTCACGGGTTGGGCGAAAGGTGGGCGACGAGGGTGCGCACGCTGACCTGGCGGAGTACGATGTGATCATAATCGGTGGAGGTTTGCCCATGCCCTAGTCTTTGCGAACATGATTTGACAACCGCGTAGGAACGGCTGGCTGCGTTCTGGCTTCGCGGCTGTCAGAAGACCCGAGCGTCAAGGTCCTTCTCCTCGAGTCTGGGAAGAGGTGAACTCTAGAACTTGAAGTAGTCTGGGTTGCCCCACGCCTTACCCGCGATACAGCTCGTCTTCGGTTCTCTTCAGTCGTATCCCCGCCGCATTCCAACTTCTCTGGGGAAATGATAAGCTGCTCTACAACTTCTACACGACACCTCAGCCGCATGCGGCGAATCAGAGTTTGTACTGGCCCCGCGGTAAGCTCTAGAGCTAACCACAGGAGCGCTTTTCTGACCCCTTATCTCACCAGCAAAAATGCTAGGCGGGTGTTCGGCCATCAACGCCCAGATGTAAGGTTTCTCTCAGACATTCATACGTCCAATGAGACTCATGAACGTGTGCAGCTTTCACTACGGAGACCCCGCCGACTATGACGAATGGGCCAAACTAGGTGGCCCTGGCGCTGAATCTTACGCTTACAATGACTTCCACACGTACGTTTGCGCTCGCTTCTACGCACAAGTCTAACATCTTGCAGATACTTCACGAAGTTCGAGAAGTTCACGCCAAGTAAACTTCATCCTGAGGTCGAGCCTGCCGACCGAGGAGCATCGGGACTCGTCAATGGTACGAACCTTTTCAGAAGTTCCTGATATACGCACTGAACCCTTCGATAGTCGGTTTCTTTGGAAATGATTCACCTATCACGCAGCGCTTCATCAAGGCTTGTGAGGAGCTCGGCATACCTCGAGTCCCCGACCTAAACACGATGAAGGGCTCGAAAGGCGTCGCAAAGGTGCGTCTCTGCGATCTATCTCGCTACTTTCGTCATTAACGACGTCTCTACAGTTCAGTACGTACTTGAGGACTTCTTATCTGGCTAGAGTGACAACCAGTTCATAATGCCGCACTCCAGTGACATATATCGATTCCAAAGGTCGGCGCGTTACAACGGAGAGATCATACCTCACCCCGGCTGTACTGGCCCGCCCCAACTTAACCGTCGCAGTGGGTGCATCGGCCACGCAGATCCTGTTTGACACTACAGAAGCGGGTGCAGAACCCAAAGCCGTCGGTGTCGAGTTCGCTTCAGGGCCGCGCGGACCGCGCTTCAGAGCGCGATCCCGAAAGGAAGTTGTCCTGTCGTACGTATCAAACTCGAATTAGCGCCTCAGGATGCTGACTCACGATGCCAGTGCCGGCGCCATACACACTCCGCAGGTAAGGAGGTCTATATTGTACTCTCTGAACTCAAACCGACGGGTTTAGATCTTGATATTGTCCGGTTTGGGTCCCGCCGCAGAGCTTAAGAAACATGACATCAAGACTGTTGTTGACCTGCCGGGAGTTGGCGCTCATCTCATGGACCATATCGTTACGAATGCTGTATTCAAGGAGACCAGCGGTCAATCCCTCGTCGTCCTTCGGCCTCGAAGTGCCGGAGAAGCGGTGCGTGCCATAGCGCATCTCGGTCGCTACATCTTCACCGGGAAGGGCGGTCTTACGTGCAACGTACGTTCCGTACACGAGTGCAAAAAGATAGCCGCTCATGTACAATAGATTGCCGAAGCTGCCGCATTCATCCGCTCGGATGACAAGACGCTCTTTAGTGACGAGACGCCTGCAACAGAAGACACAACGTCTGGTCCGTCAGCGCCTGACCTGGAGATGCTCGCTACACCAATGGGCTATCTGAATCATGGGCTTGCGGACACTCCAATTGCAGACTCACTGGGCTTACACATGACGCTCCTGCGACCCACCAGCACAGGAAACATCACGCTGAAGTCCACGGACCCCTTTGAATACCCGGTCATTGATCCAAAGTGAGCACTCCTTGTATAGCCACTCTGCGCACATCTAACACCCGAATTCGTAGTTACCTCGCCACTGCTCATGATCGTGATGTCTTGTTGCGCGGAATGCGTCTACTGTTCCGCACCGCTGAAGCCAAGCCGTTGGCCGACATCATCGACTCCAACCCGAAGAAGCCCGATGCCCGTTGGTCGCATACCCTGGCGAAGGCGTCGAACGAAGAGCTCTCGGACTACATTGCGCGCAACACACAAACACTATACCACCCGGCATGCACAGCTCGTATGGCGCCTCGCGCAGACGGTGGTGTCTGTGACCCTCAATTGAAGGTGTACGGTGTGCGCGGGCTGAGGATCGCTGATGCAAGCGTGTTTCCGACCATCGTGTCCGGTCACACAGTGAGTATCCAACTGGAATGAGCGCTCGTGTTTCAGCGCTGATATATTGCTTGTTGTAGGCTGGCCCGGTAATCGCGATTGCCGAGAAGGCTGCAGACATGATCAAAGAGGATCTTAAGGTAGTCAAGGCGTAGGCGAGCAGGTGCTCAGCTCTTGGCCCTAGTGTACAATATGTGGTTAGTAGCAAAAGTGGCAAGGCCAAAGCAAATGAATTCGTAGTGGAGATACGGTCAAAGCGATAGATCGTAAGATTTTGAAACTAACATGGCGGTATGTGCGACAGGTTGTGGGCAGATATACGACAGCAATGGACAGGGAGAAACACAACGTGTACGGTGAATGTCCAGTCATAGACTATGATGATGATAGAGAGCAAGACGAGGAGCTTGGAAAGATATTGCGGACAGGAAACAAACAAATCGAGATATTGATGCATTTGGGGGGAAAGCGACGATGCGAGATAACGGCAGGAAAGGAGGCGAGAGCAGTTGAGAAAACGAAGAGCGAAGGAAGACACACTCAGTTGCGAGGCACGGAATACTGGGAGCCAGGCCACTGTGCGTACGCGCCGGCATGGTGCCGACCAGCCCCGTTCATCGAACGCGGGATGGCATCAGGTAGTAGACCAATTGGGGGAATGGGTCCGGCGTTGACATACGTAGGGCGTGACGGCGGGGAAACGGGACCCCAATTGTACGCTTGTTGAGCGATGGGACCTTTCGATGAGGTGGTGGCAGAGGGTCGAGAATTATACATGTTTGGGGAAGACAAGCGGTTCTGGATCGTGTTGGTCGTTACGGTAGGATAGCCTGCGAAGGAAGGTGGCGGCGACGAGGAAGACAGGGAAGATGCAAGACTACTGGGGCTACGTGTTCCAGGACTAGAGTTGAAAGGTGACCATGCATCGCTTGACAGGCCGGATGCCGCGGAGTTGCCCGCAGGTGAGCCTGGACTACGTGCGAAGAGATCCGTGATGGATGTAGGTACGGGCGGCTGGTTCGGCAGAAGCTGAGTAATCGATGTCGGAACGACGGGTTGCACCGGCAGGGGAGGGGACTGGACGGGCGGCGACGACGGGTCAGACGCAGGCGGGAGGGCCTGCCGAGCGAGCGCGACAAGCTCCGCGATAGTCATGCTGAATGCTTGCGGCGGAAGCGACATACGCTGGACAGGACTGACGAACTGGTCCGTGATGCTTGCTGGAACCGAGGCCCGTGCGGAACTCTTGGGGCGAGCCATGACATCCGTAATGGACCTAGGGACGTGAGGCGGCTGAGTTGCCCTTGACAAGTTTGTGTGCGCAATGGACTCGGTGATTGATGTCGGTATCCTCACAGGCTGAGGAGGCGCGGCTTGTTGGTTTGAGCCCAGGTGTGCAGGGAAGGCATCGCGTGACAAAGGTACACTTGGAACGCGCTCCCCTGCCGGGTCAGCCGGGCGCCGTTTGGTCGCGTCCGAGTTGTGCGGTCCACGCTGGGGCGAACGGCGCCTCGTATCGTCCCTTTGACTCTTCATCAACTCGTCATCATCGTCTTCCACCAGCTTCAGGATTCCTGCGGCCTCAGGCGTTTCCTATATCACGGTGAATATCGGGAGTCAAATGAGTGGTGCCCGGCTCACCTCGTCGAAGAACTTGATGTTATTCTGGTCGCGCCTGAGCTTCTCCGAGAACTGGTTCATCGTGGGTTTCCAGTCGAATTGACCACGAGAAGTAGCGGCCAAGCGCTGCGCAGACGGCGTGTGAGGGCCGCTAGAAGGCTGCACCGAGTCCTGGCTCCAATCCAAAGTCGATCTCTCACTACCCTCATCGTCTGCCTACAGTCAGAGATTATCAAATGCATTTGCTGAATATGAAGAGGAATGCATACCTTGCCATCGCCTACTTCACTGGAGCTGTCGGCAGATTCGACGATGGGAAAGGCAGAATGTAGGGCTGGGCGAGCGGGAAAGAGAGCCACGGCGCGGCTGGGGCTGCTACTGCCATCCGAAGACTTGGAAGGAGAGTGATCCCAGATATGCCGCCCACTGTCACCGCGAGGTAGTTCGCCGCGGCGCCAGTTTGAATGACCGTCCAGCGGTGGCGTTGACATACGAGATGGTGGTAGAAGGGGGAAACGATATCGCGAGAGTTTGAACCACGATGAATATTGATGCCGTACCCACGACCACTTCTCCGTACCATGCTTGTCTGTTTTTGTTTACTCGATGAACATTTCGGGGCCAGAAGACACGCGCTTGAACCTAAACCGGTCCTCGACCGACGACGAAGAGCTTGCATTCTGAGGATACAGTACTCCTTTGTGACCCTCCGTGTAGCGACGGCAGCAATTGACGCCCGCCGCCTGAGTCTGCACGTAATCGCGCTTGTGGGTCCGCATATGGAGAACTCGACCTCAGACGCTGGACTGCATGGCGGCGCGGTGATCCGGCGTAGTTACACAGCCCGAGATGAGCACGATCCGGATCCGATTTCCGCTGCTTGAGATATGGAGGCATAGACAATAGAGACCTTTTTGTACGCCATGTTTAGGAAGAGGGACTCATCGACATGTCAACATCGACGTCGTAGTCAACCATTGACGACTCGCCGAAAAGATGTAGATCGTCACAGGTCACAGTGACGCGGCGCGCCAGATCTCAAGCGTGTCAGGGTCGTCCCGGAACCTCCATGTCGAGTATAAGTCGCACAACAGCGCTTCAGAGTGCTGCAGTCTGAAAAGCTACTCAAGACGGACACCTCTCTTTCTTGGACGGCATGTCCGGTGTCTTCAACCTGGTGGGCGACGATGTACTCTACGAGATCTTCTGCGAAATAGCACTCCTGGACCCTCCGAGTGTTCGCCGCTTTCAACCTAGCTACGTGCGCATTCACATAGGCTGCATCTATATCTCGCACGTCTGTAGACGCTGGCGCACGATTCTAGTCCATGGCATGCCACTTCTATGGGCCGACTTACCCTGCATTATACCCGCCGCCCTCGATACAATCGTTGAGCGTGCGCATGATCTCCCGCTCGCGCTACGGACACGCGTCAACTTCAGCAGTGAGCGTGACGCCTTCACGACGTGTCTCAACTTCAGTAAACGACTGCGTGAGATCGCCATCACTCATGTACAACGCGCCTATCTCTTCGAATACGAGCCGTTCTCCAGCATTCCCGATATGGGCTGGTTCGATGCCTTGAACGAAGTTCATCTTCCCCATCTACGAGATATCAGACTCTTCGAGTCTCGCGTCGATATGAGTCGACAGTACGAATATTTTCATAGGACTCTTCACGCCAAGGCTCCCAACCTGCGACATGCTGTTCTGTCCATTCGCGGATTTGTCGAGTTTCCCCCCGCTACACTCACATCTCTCGCCATAGAGAGCGGCTGCGTCGAGATCCTTCGCCAAGCGCCGAAAGGTCTCTTGCGGATTCTTGCCAGTCAGCCACTCTTGGAGTCGTTATCCACTTCCTTTCAGTCGCTCGACATGGACTGGCAGACTGACTCTGCGCCCCCCTTGCCTGTCCATCTTGAACATCTGAAAGACGTTCGTATATCAAGCCGGACATTTCCAGATGTGCTAGCGTTCTTCCAGCGCATAGAGGTGCCTTCGATCTGTCAGATACGCCTCTCCGTGACTCACAGTCAATCCGGGGACTGGCATGCTTGCGTACGGATATTCGAGCGCATCGCGCTCCTGGAGAGAGCCAATACTCTCAGTCTTCACTGCGTAGAACGTGGGCATTACACATATACCCTGCATCACAGCCCCGACGATTGGGACATGACCTCGCCTGCCTCCAAAAACGGACCAATGGCCCTATTCGAGACCGACTTCAACGTTCGTGGTATACCTTCACCGTCCTTCACGGACTTATATTTGGCATTCCTGGATCTGCCTCATCAAGGTGCCATACGCCGTTTGGTCTTCGATGAGACCATCGCCTCGACCGATTGCCAGGAATTGTCACGGTCCATCCAGTCGCATCCAAGCCACGGTGTGATAAGTTCACTTTGGCTCAATAGCCGGAGCGGATACGATCTCCTAGTCCCTCAACACGGGGAAGGATCGCACAGTACTGCCAGTCCACTCCCTCGCGTCTCAGAGCTCGCCATACCCCACATGCATCCGCCGATCACCGACCGGTCCGGAGTCGACTTAGTGCCAGAGTTGACTCGTGCGTATTGGGACCATCTGACTGCATTGCTGAGGCACAGGGCCGCATTGGGATATCCCATAAGGCGGATAGTCCTTCTAGGGGTGTGGGAATCAGAGGAGCGCAGAGCTACGAGCCAGGAAGCGGACAACCGTGGTTTGGCACTGGTCAGAGATGAGGGGGTTCACGAGATTGTCGACCGTCGTACAGTTCTCCGTCAGAAGTGAAACCTAAGCAGGTTGCAGTATAGATCTACGATGTACCAAGAGACTATACGATCAAGCTTGGTAGCCTATATACTAGGTTTTGAATCCAGTTGTGTGATTTCTTGAAGCGGGTTGTGTATTGATGGACGGTCTGACAGCCGAGGTCGCACGTCGTGCCGCTGCGCTGCGGCGTTGTGCACAGGTCGAACGACGACCACCATTACCACTTCCGCACAAGTCAAGTCCACTCGTCCTACATCATCCATCCTCATGGGCCCGGATCAGCCTCTACGCAATGACGATGGTCTCCAGTCATACCGCGTGAAACCCGAATATAATGCACCCCGAACACAGCACGAAGCGCCGAATCTACCCGAAGATATACTGGACCTAGTGTTCCACGAGCTCTCATCCTCGATTCCACCCCACCAGCGCCATGCGTCTCCGCCAGTCTTGTTGCCGTCTCATGTGTCCAGAATCTGGCGGCAGGCTGCCGTCGCAGACAAGCGTCTCTGGTTGGACATTCCCCTCTCCTCCCCAGAGCTGGCTGGGCTCTTCTTGCAAAGATCGGAACCAATCGGCGTCGCCGTCTACGTACCTCACGACTACCGCGTGGGATCTCCGCGAAGGCAATCAGCAATCGATGAGATTCTGCGTCATCCTGCCCGTATCCGCATTCTGAAGTACTGGGTGTGGGACGAGTCCACCGAGCTGCCAATGGTCCTCCTGCACAGTCAGGATCATCACAACTTTGAAGATTCGCCTGACATTGAGGTCATAGGGCTTTGGTCGACGGACATCGACGACAGTACTGTCGCCCAGCTCAGTAGTCGTGACAAACTACACTCACTGACATTGAGTGGGCGATGCAGTCTTGATATCGCTGTGCCGAGGACTCTCGCGCACCTGACGAGTATGTGCTTATACGGGCATACTATATACCTCGACGCGTTCCAGAACCTCATGCTATGTGTTCCCGGTCTTCACCATCTGGTGTTACACCGTGCGACATTCCGTCAAACGAACGCCGATGCGGGCACCTACCACCTTCCACCTACGTTGAGGACTCTGAAGGTTGCAGGGCGTACCCCCTTCATCATGCACTTCTTGTCCCTGATGAAGATGCCCGATACGACTAGGATAACCGTATATCCCGTGGACGATATGGATCTACAATACCATCTGCTTGAAGATCCTGGCCCTCCTGGCCCGGATATGGCGACACTTTCATGGCTCTCTGTTCAAAGCGCAAGGACCGAGTACTTCCTACATGCGTGGCCTGGGTCTTTTCTGGCCGTCTTGGGGCTATTTCCCCACGAGAAACGCCTCATCCTCAGACCTCACGGACGCGGATGCATAGAGATCATCGTCGAGGGCAGATTACCACCGGGGCAAGCATCCACACATGCTCCATTCAGCCTCATGCTGATTCATCCGGACATTGGGCCCATGAATCGTATGCTCTTCACGTGTCTGGCGCTCCTAGTGACCTTGAGTGGTTGGCAAGAGATCCGGCTTGAGGAGGGCATCCTGGCGGTGCTGGTGGAGTTCGTCATTGAGTTCATCACTCGCGGCTCACGCTTGCAGAGCTTAGCCTTTATGAGGCGTCTCGAGTTTTCTCTGAGCGATGCACGGCTTCGACGTGCTCCATTGAGCAAAAATCTTGCGAAGCTGGGCTCTGAGTGGCCTTCGGCGCAAATTAATGCATTGTCAACGGGAGAAGGGGACTTGCAGCCGGATGAAGAGGGACTCAGGTGGGCTTACTACGACAATGCCTAGGCCAATGATATTCCTGGAAATTGAGGTGGTGTTGGATCGGAGGACGATAATTCTAGCGCGGAATCCAGTCAGGAAGAGGGGGAATGATGGGTCCTGGGGACCAGAGGCGCAGAATCGCACGAGAGGTGCTTGATATGTACTCATGTACTCGTTGAAAACAAAGACATGGACAGATAGGACAAGAGCAGGAGTCAACGTTTGATAAAGGGGGATATCATAAGCATATAAGAGCTACACGAACATAGGCACAGGGCGCGCCTAGCCCAATCTAAACCCAAGGAAACACAGGGTACATACATCTATAGGAAGCAGACAAGGTAGCAGAGTAGAGTACAGATCCGTGTGTGAACACGCGTAACAGAAGTAGCGATAAGATAGAATGATAGCATGCGGTGAGAGCCAGGACTGAGAAGCAGCGGTATGAGATATTGGGACTGTAAGTGAGAATAAGTGTGATGGGGCGACCATGATCCTTTGGGCTGCAGGATTGCAGGATATCGATGGACGGGGCGCTGCTAGAGCGCCTTTTCGACCCTCTCCATTCCTTTGACTACGCCTTCAATAAGCCGTAGAACCCGCCTCCTATGCACTATCTCCCTCTCCTCTTCCTTCTCGTCATTCATTGCCCACCTCCCATCATCTCTTCGCCTTGCCCTTGGTCTCCTTCGTTCTCTCCTCAATACATCCTCCAGTGCAAGTGGCAGGCCAAGGGTGATGCGCGCGAGACGCAAGGATAGACGCGCGCGAGGGCGGATGGCAAGATAGGGCTGCTGACCCAGAGCATGTTGTGTCTCGGCGAGGTGAGACAGCGTGGCGACAAGGGCATGTGAGAGGGCACGGCAAGTGAGCAGACGTTCACGGATGGCTTGGAGCGTGACGAGTACGCTCTCAATCCCTTCGTCGTTCAGCCTCAGTGCCGGATTAAAGTTGTCCATGGCACCTATCATGAGCGATCAGCTTTCTGTAGAGCATGTAGAAACCAGAGCGATGGGTGTCATGAGTGCCTGTCATACAGACTTGCGCAAAGCCCAGACATCGCGAAGTTCAGAACCGTAGACCACGCGACGCGAACACAACGCTAATGCTCCAACTCCAGAAGAAGCATGAATCACGCGCGTCATATGGGCGCTGAGTCGCAGACAACGGGCGCAGGGCCACAGCACAAGACACATCGACGAAGCGAAAAGCACGCGCATCTTTCCTCCACCTCGACCGCGCGCTCATGATTTTAGAGTAGGAGGGAGAGCACTCACGCAATAGAGTTCGGACGACTTCCATATCGCCGTCGAGAAAGTCGTTGAAGACGCCCAACACGACGCCCCTCAACGTTTCCTCGGCCCTCGCGCCACCCATGCCCTGTGCCGCAAAGTCGGCCGGCGCAGCGTCGTACCGTCTTCGTCGTGCGGGGTCGGCGAGCACGCTGTATGCCAGGGACACCTTCTGAAATGCGAGCGTTGCCGCGGGGTCTCCCGCGAATTTGCTGTCAAACGGACGAGTATCAATCAAACATGGAAATTGGAAGACGCAAAAAAGAGAGATGCGCACTCAGGGTGGCACATCTTCGTCCGTGCCAGATACGCTCTTCGGAGCGCCAATGCATCGGTTGTACCATGCTCGAGACCGAGTACGGCGTAAAGGTTATCCTGCGCGAGGATCTGCGCGATCGCGGGTTCGTGTCCAGTAGCGCCGTGTTCGTTTCCATGGTGTCTGTCGGCGGGCGGTGGCGGGGAGTCGGAGTCGGATGAGGGTTCGGGCGGCTCGTATGCAGCTTTAGAGTCGATATGTCGACTGTACGCGGGGATTTGGTCGTCGTCGTCAGTAGGCGCGCCTTCGTCTTCGATCGGGAGGTAGAAATAGCTGCTTGCTACCGGTATCAACAGCCAACTTTTAGCATTTCGTGGTTCGGGGAGTACTGTGGCTTACGCACCGGAGGATACGACGTATCTGAGCATGCCTCTGTGTCGAGTTAGTCTATCTACCCGGCATAGAGTTGGGTGTGTGGAACAGAGGGATCAAGCGAGGGAGCTACTGTATACATAAGCTTCTGCGAGGGGGAGCAAGACGACATCTCGACTTTCGAACTATCACATGAAATTGTGCGCGTGCCCAGCTTCTCGATTTTGAGGTTCTCGAACGTGCCTCTGCCGTACGCAGCGCTGCGCCCTGTCTATGCAGTCTACACGCTTTAGATTTACCTGCACGCATGCCAGGTGATAGCGAGGGTTGAGCGAGGGAACGGTTTTGTATGGAGCCGGGTGCAGACTGGGTGGGTCAACTCTCGCGCGCAAGGCAACTTACACCTTGCGTCGATCATCAACCTTATCACTTCTCATGGTTCTGACTTGACGTTCAATGGCCATAGCGAAGGACTATCAACGAAGTATATGGGTAGGAGCCTCGGTTACATTATTACAACAAGGAGAACAGGCATCACAAGCCACATAGCGATACGCACTTGCAGTGAAATTCCTCTCTAGCCTCGCTATTGAATGCAGGTATGACGAGCGTGTTCTAGACTGTTGCTGTAGAGCGCGTAGCTCGGGAATCCTGGAAATTGACGCTTGTAGCCTTCGCAATACACTGTAGGGCGTCTGCCCTTGCAGTGAGCCAGGCGTACAAGCTACGCCCTCATGACGCAGGCCAACATCGACTCCACCAACTAGTCGAGCGCTTGGCGGGAAGTCAAGCGCTGAGCTCCTGGCTATATTCTGTCCGTGTTCGTCCACATCGTGTCTCAACAACACCCTCCATCTATATCCTCATAGTATGCGTATCGCCATCACAGGCTGCAGCGGTAACGTCGGAAGCGTTGTCGTCCGCAACGCACTCGCGGCGGGCCACACCCTTCTCGGCCTCGACTTCACGGCGCGTCCGCAGAACGCACCGCAGGACATTGACTACGTTGAGCTCGATGTGCGCAACTTCGACGCTGTCCTGAGCGCTCTGAAAGACTTTCGAGCCGAGGGAGTCGTCCATCTAGCGGCGCACCCGAATCCGACGGATTATTTGGTCCAAACGCATAACAATAACGTGGTCATGTCGTGGAACGTCCTTCGTGCATGTGCCGAGGTAGGCCGCCTTGTACGCGAGGGTGGAACATCTCCTCATGAACGCATAGCTGGGTATCACGCGCGTTGCGTTGGCGTCGTCCGTGAACGTTCTTCCCGGGAAGTTCAGCAGCCATTCGCACTTTGCGTACTTCCCCATCGACGAGGCGCACCCCACTGAGCCTGATGAGCCATACGGACTCTCCAAGCTGTGAGATCCTCGCACTGCGCCTTAGCTCTTCTTCCTAACGACACAATTATGCGTCCCGCTTGACAGTATCGCTGAGATGCAAGCGACCACGATCGTCCGGCGCTATCCCACCATACGCATCGCTTCATTCCGCATCCACGCCTTTGTCTCGAGTAGGGACGAGCAAGAAAGCGACGATCCAAAGCAGCTCGCAAGTGATCTGTGGGGATGGGTGCAGAAGGATGCCGTGGCGGACGCGTTCTTGCGATCGTTGACGGCGCCGGGGGACGCGTGGACGGGGCATGAAGCGTTTTATCTCGTCGCGCCGACTTCGGCGACTGCCGGTGCGGATATAGGCGAGCTTGTGAGGGAGTGCTATCCGGATGTGCTGTTCAAGGATGGGTTCGTGTTGGAGGGTAGAGCGGGACTGTTTGATTGTTCGAAGGCGGAGCGTGTACTGGGCTGGAAGCATCCAGTATAGGTAGAGCCGAGTCTAGCGGCGTATATAGTCGTCCTTTCGAGGCACGTTTTTCAGTGTGAAGAGAGAAAGCCGGCGTGGGACGAAGGTGAAATATCTGCAGGATAGTTATGTTCGTGAACATTATGGACTGCGTGGGCGCCTTGAGCGATGGTCTCGTCTGGGCGAACGCGAGCGCGAAGTTCGTCTTCTCGTTCTTCGGTCCTCATCATCCTGTTTGCGTCTTGGAGAGCCACGCGAGAAAGGTCCCTCCTCTTGTGCATCACGAGCCCGTGATTGACTCTCCTCCGCCTTCGATGGATTCTGCGGACCCTCTTCCTCGCCACCTTCAGCAGAAGCGGCCTCCTTCAACTTGTTTCGCTTCCACATGAGCTTCTTGACGCAACGCGCGCATAGAACAACTTTGACGAGCGCGCTCTTTGCCTGACCCTGCTCGACATATGCAAAGGGGAGTTCCAAGGTCGAAAGAGCAGTAGTCGGCGGAGCGTCCTCGTCTTCGGGCGGCGCGTGGAACTCGCAACGTGTGTTGCCACAGCTGCGTTCGCCTGCACCGGATACGACTTCGTCTTCCGTGCGCCATCTTAGCGCAAGCTGGATTCCTGATCAGTCAAGAAACTCGTTCATCGAGAGAGAGAGGGCACGTACATTGCCGGATTTGTAGTGCTTGAGGTCGCACACCGCGAACTCGCGGAATAGACTAGCGTAGTACTTTGCCGCCAGTTGATCATTCCATGACGCGGGCGCCTCTTCCTCGTCGCGCAAGAACCGATGCGCGTGTTTGAGAATGTCGAACTCGGTCGCGTGAGAAGGAGGAGCCTGGGAGGACGAGGCGCGGAGGGCCATGGCCGCGAGATGGTGGTGGTTCAAGACGAGTGGCACTTTGATGGGACCCAAGCTTGGATCTGTACCGCCATGACTTGCCATGACTGAACAGTCTGCACTGTTGACTGGCATTTAAGAGTCAGAGCACAGACTGAACCTTAAATCTTAAGAGACAATCTTTCTATACCTTGATCATCGTCCGAGGAACTTGTCTGTCAACTCTGTACAACTTGGAGGGTCTTATAGCGCTCGTGGCGCTTGAGCTGAGCTACACCGGGCAGTTTCCCGGACTGTACAACTCTAGAGCTCATTACCAAGCCTGAACGCCGACATCTCTGTCATCTATACTCCGAACAATGGCCGAGACACTACTCGCGATCCTCCTGGCAACCTCCTCCGCCAAAGGCTCCCACCTCGTCACATTCTGGCCCCCGGATCCCCAACCAAACCAGCGCCTCGCGCGTCCCCGTCCCGATGACTTCATGCAATACGACAACCCCTGGCGCGCGGCCCACCCGCACGAAGCCGCAGCGCCCACCGCCGCGCCGCGCTGGCAAGCCGACGAGTCCTACCTCTGGCGCCGCCCGCACGCCCGCTCGCGCTCACCCTCCCGCGCCGCGCACCCCAACATCGTCCACCCGCCCCCCTCAGGCCGCAGCAGCCCCACCAAAGACTCTCACGCGCACTCGCACTCGCACACGCCCTTCGACGTCGACGCCGCCCACGAAGGATCAGAAGAAGTATTGGGCTACAGCGCGGCGTACCTCGCGGGCGTCCTCTGTCCCAAGCGCAGCATGTGCCACCAGAAGTTCGCGCTCAAGGTCGACGATCTGATGTTCCTCGGCCATCCCGTGTGCGCGGAGCCGGGCGGGCAGTGGAGGTTCAAGGATCGGTCGGCGTCGCGCGGTGCTAGTGCGAGTACGAGTGCGGATCCGAGGGGAAGGAGGGCAAGGGCGAGGCAGGTTTCGGGCGATAGTGTAAGGTCGGGTGTTAGTGTTGATGATGAGAAGGCTGAGTCGAGTCCGAGCCCGCCGCAGGGGCAGAGCGGAGGGTGGTTGCAGACGTTCCATGTTGTGTTCGTGCATGATCTGCCGGACCCATCGAGCGCCGCGAGCGGGAACGTGCAGAAGTACTTCGACGCGGTATACGCGCAGCTCGCCTTTCCACTCACGGCAGTCCTATATGCCGCACAAGTTACATCGAACTTTGTTGAGGCCGAGTGTGATAGGCTAGATCGAGGGGAGGCGAGCGAGTTGGCGGGGGCTCTGAAGGAGCTGTATGAGGCGATCAAGAGGGTTGATGTGGCGAGGATCAGCGTATCCGGTGCTCCGTTGGAGTTGCAATTACCTCCTTCTCTGGACGGAATGATCAAGAGCGGGCAAGTGGAGGAAGAGGATGCGGTTGGGGATGAGCCGGCGGAGGAGGAGGGAGGTGCTAGTGTTGGATTGCCAGGACTGGCGCCGTGGAAGAGCCTGCTGTTACTGGATGATGCCTTTGAGGGGATGAGGGCGCAGCATGTGGGCGAAGGAGACGATGACCAGTTGCTTGCTGAGCAGCTCATGCGGTTTCTCGAGATGGCGGACATTACGCTCTCGTAGGTTCACTGCTGTCCTGTTCACATCGACAGAAGATTGATTGTCCTGAAATAGGTTGGCGGACATGGCAAGCTTGCTAGATTGGGACCTCGATACGCAGATATACCCTATCGTACGCTGGCTCGTACACCACCGGCGTGCCCGCGTGGTCGATATCGTCCATCGCGGGCTCAAGAATGTCTTCACGCTACCTCTCAAGTTCGACAAACCGTATGAAGTTTCCTTCATCACATCATGTACTCGATGCTGACAGCTTGTGATATAGTCTACGCGAACTCTCCGCATCATACCGCACCGCCTTCCCGGACCCTGCTCTCCCGCCCCTTCCCTCACTTCTCTCAACGATATCCCAATCAACGTCTACAACGTTCTTCGCAGCGATAGTCCAAACGCGCGATGCACTGCCCATTTACCGCGATGTCGTACAGTGGCTTCTACGCAACGAGCTGATGATAGCACTGCACCTTCGCGTGAGGGTCGTCGCGACAGCAGCGCTGAAGAAGAAGGTCAAGAAAGAGCGGAGGCGGAGAGGCGGGAGGAGAGTCAGCTGGCAAGAACCGGAAGCCACTGAGGGCGAGGGAGAAGGGAGCGACGCGGTGTTCGCGAGACGCGGGCGGAGAAGGCGACCAGGGGGCGTTGAGGATGATGTCGAAGAGGAAGCAGACGGGGACGCAGAGGATGGAGACGACGAGAAGGAAACGGATAGCAAAGAGAAGGGTACAAAGTGGCTTGCGCAGAGCCCGGAGGAGATGCGTGCTCGTCCGCCGATCTTGGAGGAAGGGTTGGACTTTGATGAGGAGTTGGACGAGAAGATGCGCCGGTTCGAGTCTGACGCGGAAGGGCTCGATGAAGGCGACGGTTCACAGGCGGAAGGCGAGGGAGATGATGAGAGCGACGATGAGGAGGACTGGAGGTACAGCATCATCCCTGATCCGGCGCGTGCAGATGTGCGCCAAAGAGCGTGGTTGCAGGCGATGAGTGCGGGCAAAGAGCCAGCGCTCGCTCGTCGGTTCGATGCTATCAACCGGTACTTCGACGGACGGTGCGCAGACGACGAGATCCTATTTCGAGCAGAGATCTCGAGGAAGCAGTTGCGGGAGGTGCTGCATCATTACGATGAATACGTGAGTAGAGTCTCTGTATGATCAGGCAGCCGTACTGACGGACAAACAGTTGCAGACGTTCTTGCACCCATCATGATATACACGCGCCTCTCTCGCGTCCGAGTTGATACCCGCGCCAACGACGGCCGGAGCATAACATGCATGGACCATGCGGCACGCACTCGGGCGCCCACGGCCGCGAGCTCGCGACTGGGGAGGCCGCAATCGATATCCGCAAGATAATCCGAGCCGACGAGCCACTGAGCTCGTCCCAATTAAACACCTGTGACTCGGGCTCTCTCTCACTTGTAGCAGTATCATGACCCTACGTTGTCACAACACCAGACCGTGTATGTACTAGCGCCTACCATAACCCATTCAGAGAGCTCGGAAGCGGCAGCACGTAATAAACAGGCCGTTCCGCGCCACCAGGCCGAAGCAGCACGTGTGGCGCGGAAGCCAAGTATGGGGACTCAGGAGAAGCCGGCGGGGGCCCTGAACGCGAGAGCTGACTCTACTCTGAACCCACCACCATGTCCACGCCAACGCGACCGATCACGGTCAGGAAGAGCTTCAACTCCAACTCGGGCGCGTCGGGAACGCCGCGGTCGTTCAACCCTGAGAGTTTCCGCGCCGCGTACGCGGGCACCGCGACGCCCCCGCCGAATATCCCGCCGCGCGCGGGCACGCCGTCGTCCCAGCAGGTGACCGGCATCAATGTTGGCGCCGGCGCGTCGTCGCCGGCGCCTGGTGTGGGCGGGATAAGCGCGCAGGCGCCTAGCCCGGCACCGAGCACGCCGCCTGTAAACCTGGACGAGCTGCCGGAAGAGGAGAAGGCGCGCGTGCTGCAGAAGCATCTCGTGCACCGGGACGAGCGGAACGGAGAGTCGAGCAGTCCCAGGGTGCAGAGGCAGGACAGCGAGGCGTTTCCTGTTGCTTATCACGCGCCTGGAGCGGACGTCGTGCACGATATATACAAGTGGCAGCAGGGCCAGCAGCGTATCCAGAACAGACAACGCGCTGTGAGCTTTGCCGGGAGTACCGGAACAGCACCCGAACCTGCGTTTGAACATATCCATCAACCTGGAGGGTTCCGACGGAACTACTTGTTGCTGCACCAGGAGCAGAATGGCGCTGCGGGAGATGCGCCGCACGAGGGCCGGATGCTCAACACCTTTGTCGACTTTTTGTACATTTACGGCCATTATGCCGGTGAAGATCTGGAGGAAGACGAAGAGGAGGACGAGGAAGCATTCGACGAGGAAGAGGCGAGGAGACGGGAGGACGTGCCGTTCACGCCTGGCCAGGTCGAGGGCGGCATCCTGCGCGTAGAACCGCTGCCGTCGACGCTGTCTGTGCGCTTCCCGACGGAGCGCACGCCGTTGTTACCGACGACGCCGACGACGCCCACGCGGAAACAGAGCCGCTCAGCTTCTCGGCGGAGGCGCTTAAGCAGTACCGAACATGGCGAACACGGTGACGCTACCGTCGGCCAGGCAGTACTCATGTTGTTGAAAGCGTTCGTCGGCACCGGTGTCTTGTTCCTCGGAAAGGCATTCTTCAACGGCGGTATACTGTTCTCAGCAATCACTATCTCGGCCGTCTGCTTGATCTCGCTTTACTCGTTCTTGCTCCTTGTGCAGACCAAGTTCGTTGTGCCCGGCTCATTCGGTGATATCGGCGGCGCATTGTATGGCCCATACATGCGCTACATCATCCTCACCTCCGTCGCTGTCTCTCAGATTGGTTTCGTGTCCGCATACACCATCTTCGTCGCCGAGAACCTCCAATCGTTCGTCCTGGGCGTGACCAAATGCGAGAAACTGGTCCCAATAGCCTATCTCATCTTGGTCCAACTCGTAGTCCTCCTCCCACTCGCACTCGTCCGCAACCTCGCCAAGCTCAGCACAACGGCCCTCGTAGCAGACGCCTTCATCCTCGCCGGCCTCATCTACGTCTTCGGCTCCGAATTCAGCCTCATCGCCGCGCGCGGCATCGCAAAGGTCGAATACTTCAACCCCGACTCGTTCCCGCTCTTCATCGGGACGGCCGTGTTCTCCTTCGAGGGCATCGGTCTGGTGATCCCCATCACCGACGCGATGCGTGAACCGCGCAAGTTCCCCGCCGTGCTCAGCGGAGTCATGATCGGCCTGCTATTCCTCTTCGGCGGCGCCGGCGCGCTCGCGTACTTGACGTTCGGACCGGAGATCAAGACTGTGGTCCTCGTCAACCTCAACACCGCCTCGCCCGTAACCCAAGCCGTACAGTTCCTCTACTCCCTCGCCATCCTCCTCTCCATCCCGCTCCAGCTCTTCCCCGCCGTCCGCATCATCGAGACGGGCATGTTCACCTCTTCGGGCAAGGCCGACTTCCGCGTCAAGTGGCTCAAGAACGGGTTCCGGTTCGTGATCACGCTGTTCTGCGCGGCGCTGGCCTGGGCGGGCGCGTCGGATTTGGACAAGTTCGTCAGTCTGATTGGGAGCTTTGCGTGTGTGCCGCTGTGCTTTACCTATCCGGCGATGTTGCATTATAAGGCGTGTGCGAGGACGAGGAAGCAGAAGGCGGCGGATATTGCGTTGGGTGTGTTTGGGATTGTCGCGGCGGCTTATACGACGGCGCAGACTGTCATTGTACGTTCGAGCGGTTGTAGTTTGTGGTGTTTGTATACTGACTCATGTCCCTTCACAGATGATGGCGAAGCCGACGGTTGCTGGACCAGGACCCATCGCACAGTGTCTGATGTCACCTTGAGCGTACACGTGAACCGGCTTGCCAACTTTTTCTTGAATACTCTCGATACAGGGTAGAACTAAACCGCCTCTATACAAGTCTGAATTTCGCTCCATGCATAACCTCGCCTCTTCATATTCCTCTCACCCTCCTACATGCGCATATATTGCCCTCTTCTACTCTCGTTGAGGATCGGTCTTGGCTACATCATAGCGTAATTTGTACTCCAGTCATACACTGCACCTTACTCTTCATATTTCCTCGTCCCACCTACTTGCAAGTTTTGCGCTGCTTCTAGCTTACGCAGTTCACGAGTAGATGAATAGTGTCGCATTCCAGATTCAGCTGATTATTGATGTACAACTACTCTAAGCCGGATGTTTCCAGCCCAGCACTCGCTCAGCCTTCGAGCAGTCATATAACCCCATCCTACCCGAAGGCACGAACCCCTCCTTCAACGGCACATCCGGATACACTTCCTTCAGAAGCTTGCCGATATCCGCGCCCGCAGTTGTGGCAGTGGGCGCGACGAGGTAGAATGCCTCGTGTCCAGTCCACGCTCCTTCTGGAGCTGTCAACGCACGCAGGAACGCGTCTGCGACCGCGTCCTCCTGCACCCATCCCCACAAGTCGCGCGCTCGCTTCGTTGGCTCGCCGCTGGCCTGCTGATCTGCATCAGCCGTGCTGGGGAGGGACCAGTGCAGTCGGAAGGACGCGATTCGCATTGCGGGCCATCGATGGACGATTGTGGTTGCCTGTAATTCCGCGATCCTGTTAGAGGTGTCAGTGGTAGTGCGATGTGAGCTCATGCGTGGACTTGCAGCTTTGAGAGCCCATATGGCTCGTCGGGTTCGGTTGGGTGGTCTTCGTCGATGGGGAAGTACTCGAAGTGAGATCGCGTGCTGAATAGTCCAGGAAGGACGTTGACTGATGAAGCCATCGCCACACGCGTGATCCCGAGCTACGAGCTTTTAAGAACCGTGTGCGCAACTAGAATCAAGAAAAGTGTTACCTCTGCGCAAGCGCGTAGGACGTTCCACGACATGACCACATTGTCATTGTGCGTCTTCACGAGGTAATCCGTCGGATTACGATGTGCGGCAAGATGAACGACACCCTCCGCTTTGAACCCTCTCAACACGCTTAAGACACGCTCAAAGTCGCGAGCGTCGACCTTCCCAAATACGAACTGCGTGATATCGGTTGGTGCATCTGCCGGTCGCGTGAGGTCAAGACCAAGCACGACGTGACCGGCTGCGAGCGCGTTGCGGAGGATACTGCTGCCGACGCTCCCGCTGCAGCCTATGATGGCTATCCGCATGCTTCGGTGTCCTTCTGAGAGTATGCAGAAAGTCGAGGTGGGAGACTAGGAGTGAGATATCGGAGACCCTGGTATCTCGTTAATCGCCCAGGTCAGGAGATCGTATCGACTGGCATCATGAGAAGCAAAGACTAGTGCGTATATGGTCATCATTTACCCGAGAGCAAGCCTCGGATGTTCAGGTCGCACTAGAGGGAGTGTAGACATTGTTTATTGGCAGAGTATTGGTTTGCGTCGATGGTGGCTGGTCGGTGTCAAGCAGACAAACAACGGATCAGGGCGCTGTGGCCGCCACGTGGATGAGGTACGAGGACGAATAGGGGCATCGGCGCCGCCGAGGCTCGTTGAGCGCGACTTGTCCCAAACACCAACGGACCACCCTGGTAGCCAATACGGCTTTGAAGCGTGTCAACGGACAAGTAGCCCACGAGCAGGCCTTTCATTATATCTATCTCCTCCAGCCGCAAGTAACGCCGCTTGCGAGGCGATGTAACGCGCGAAAAGCCTATAAAGAGACGGCCCGCAGGCGTTGCTGCGCGCGCCTGAACTATTCATAGGTAAGGTATCCCAGGTGCCCTTTGGCCTTAGTCTGGCTGTGAGATCGTTCCCGTCATCTCTACCTGCTGTGCTCTTTCACTCGCTCTCCCATCTACGCTCACGATCCTTGACGACTCGCCACGATGGCCTCCAGAGATCCCTTCAGTACGCCGATACCGAACGCGTCGCACCCAGACCTCGAGAATTATTTCGATGGCGATCATATTCCGGTATGTGTTCCCGTCGGTCCAGACAGCTGCGCATTCTAAACAACGAACCCGACACTTGACTATATTTACCTCTGGCCGGCCGTGCGCATTACCCCTGCTTCCCGACTTCCCGCATCTTTCAACTGCCACATCTCTCTCCTCGACGTCGTCTCGCTGTGCGGCGACTATCCACGCTCTTTCTCTCACCGTAGCCTCCGCACCGATTATCCCAGGGACTCTCGAGCTCTTCCTACCCTTCTACCTACGCTCCAGCCGACGCCGCTTCCAGAGGCACATACGCACCAACCAACAACAACATGTCCGCATACACAGACCTCGATAACGGACACACCGCACCAGAACAGCCATACCAGTGGCGAGAGAAGCCTGCCGCGAGCAGCAGCAAGCGCAAATGGATCGTGCGTGTCTCGCTCCGCAGCATTACCCGTGAACTGCGCGTGCTGAACCCGCTCGTCTGCGCAGATACTCGGCAGTATCGCTGCCGTGGTCACCCTCGCCGCCGTCGGTGTCGGCCTTGGTGTCGGTCTAACACGCAACTCGTCCGGTAACTCGTCGAACCGCTCGTCCTCTTCCTCGTCTTCGTCTTCTTCGGACAGCTCTGATCCGTCGGACTTCACCAAAGACTCGAACCTGAAGCAAGTCTTCTATGGCATCGCATATACGCCGGAAGGATCGCAGTATCCCGCCTGCGGTAATAACCTGACTACTGTCATCAAAGACATTCAATTGCTCTCCCAGCTTACCACTGTACGTCTGAACTCTATGCGTTGTTTGCCGCCTTTGCTAAGAATATCCAGCGCCTTCGTCTCTACGGAGCGGACTGTAATCAATCTTCTTTGGTGGTACGTCAAGTGCCTGTGTTTCAACCTATTCATGGAAGTCTGATCTCGCCTGCAGCTTGACGCCATCGAACAAACCAAAGTGAACATGTCCGTCTACTTGGGCAACTACCCTGCCGCAACAGACGCTGGCGTCGCATACGAGCGTCAGCGGGACGAGATCATGACCGCCCTCTCATCCTTCGGCACGGATCACGTCGCAGGCATCATCGTCGGCAACGAGTTTGTCCTCGACTACATCACATCTGTGGACTCTTCTGCTCCTTCCACCGACGCCAATAGCGACGTGGGAAATGCTGCAGCCGCGATACTTATCCCGAACATCACGGACACGATCTCTCAGCTGAAGAGCGCCGGCTATGATCTGCAAGTTGGTAATGCCGAGGCGGGCGCCTACTTCAATGACGAGATCCTCGAGGCGGTCGACTTCGGAATGTCAAATGTACACCCGTGGTTCGCGGACGTCACTGTCGATCAAGCTGCCGGATGGACCTGGGAGTTCTTCGACGAGACGAACGTCGAGCCTGCTGCAGCCCTCAGCAATAAGCCTACGATGTACATCGCTGAGACGGGTTGGCCTACGGCTTCGGATGACACTACAAGCGAGTCGAATGGGCCGTCGATGGCTAACACGACCAACCTCCAGATCTTCTTGGACACCTATGTTTGCCAGGTAAGCCCGCGTCGCTTTCTCTGTAGGGTACATATGCTGAACATGGATAGGCCAACGCGAATGGGACCGGGTACTTCTTCTTCGAATACTTCGATGAGACGTGGAAGGCGGAGCAATATGGAGGTGTAGAAGGCCATTGGTATGTCCCCACACATGTACATGACGTAGTTTCCCGCTAACGTCGCACGCAGGGGCTTGTTCTATTCCAACCGTACACTCAAGGAAGTCACCATCCCTGACTGTTCATGATCTCCGTAGTGATTACTCGTCTCGCGCATATGTATGACACACATACACCGGACGCTCTCTGGACTTAGGCATTCAGTACTGTACATTCCCCCAGTTGGTATACGCATGTTCGTCGATCTTTGGACTATTGTCTTTATTAGTGCGATGCCATCTTTGCTGTCCAGATAAATTGATTGCTGTGAGCACGGTGAATACCGTGGAACATGGCGCCCATCGGCGGGCCCACAACGCGCGCCGGGCGTTCGCGACTTGCCTTCGGCCACTACCTCTTCACTAGTGCTGATTGCATCCTCAGGCTCAGGACGAACGCAAGCGCACTTGCCATATGGGCGGCTGTTGATGACTACAAATGGTCCGCGTGGTTAACGGACCATGAAGTCCGCACAGGGAATCATACCACCCAAACCGAAGTCGTTCCTTGACCGCGAATATAAGGACTATCGCGAGCTCTCTCGTAGGTGGCGTAGACATACCGCCTGTGCCTCAACTGATTCGAAACTTAGCAGGATGGCTTCAAGCTCCGCAGTTCCCATCGCGGGGCTGAAGCATGACATACTGCTGGAACTATTCGCTCTGATCGCGGCGACGGACGTCCCGCACGCTCTGCCTTGGGTCGATCCCGGACCTTTGCGATACCACCTCGGATGGGTCCGTTTGACGCACGTTTGCCGCCTATGGCGTGTGATCCTTGTGGACGAGATGCCTCAGCTTTGGGCGGATGCGGTGTGCAGGATACCACCTGCGCACGACATCATGCTCACGCGGGCGCGCGACCGCCCTCTCACCTTGAACCTCAACATATCCCTCGGCCAGAATCTCAACCTCCCTTCCGGACACATTCATCATGAACGACTGTACAACTTCGCTCTTGCGAACATCGGTCAGGCCGAAGCCTTTCACGCATTGCACGCAACCCCGGATCGGGACTGGGTACCAGTGCTTGACGGGAAGCACCTCCCTTCGCTGAAGTATCTGGAACTTATACAACGGCAACCGCGCCGTGGCGACAGGAGAATCCCGGTTCTGAGGTCACTCGATGCGCCGAACCTTCTCTGGGCCAACCTGGAGGACATCTCCCTCACTTTCACGTCCACTACTCTCCGTCATCTATGCATCTTCGGCCACCAGATGTTCTGTAACCCCGAGTGGTCAATTCTGGACGTGCTAGGACGCCTCCCCCTTCTTGAGTGGCTGTCACTCGACCAGCAACCCCACGAACGCGCCGACTACTCGCAGTATCAAGGCCCCCCTATCTCCCTCGAGCACTTGAAGCTCCGCCGTTTATACGGTAACGCCAATTCGGACCTTGTCACGTTCAGCAAGCATCTTCCAATCACACCCCGTGTACAAGCGCAGCTGCGACAGCTGTATCATGCCCATATCGTCATTGACGGCGAGAGATGGGAGGAGGACTTCATCGCGGCCTTCGGACCTTCGCTCAACGAACCGTCCCTGGACGGTCTGCTCGTCTGCGACGAAGGAGACAAGATTTTCGTTTCCACATTTCCGGCGTGTGAGAAACCGGAGCTTGCGCCCAGAGGATGCAAACGACACTTCGGCCTCGACGTCCTGTACGAAGCCGAGCCCTTTCCACTCCGAATCGGATTGGCCGTGCTGGAGCACGTCGATTCGTCTCGCGTCAAGCAATTGGCCTTCGAATTCAAGGTCGACGACGAGCACATGGACATGACCGTGGAGGCACTGCGCATGTTTACCTCTGTCACCGACTTCGCGGCCTCGACAAGGGACGTGCTCCTACTACTCTCATTCCAGAAGGACGGTTCGATGTTGTTTCCCAACCTCGAGTCACTTCATGCAGTCATGGAGGCTCCCATCGACACGGGATTGTTGCACGTTTGGTGGGATAGGCTCGTCAGAGCCATAACAGATCGGTCGGCCGCGGATATCCCCATACGCTGCCTTCGACTTGCCGACGATTGGAGGTCCGTTGAATGGAGTGAGGAGCTTGCAACAATCGATGCCATGGGGATCGCAAGCGTCACGAAGCTCCTCGGTTTTGAGGTAGTAGACGATCGTAGTACATACACCGAACCTTACCGTGACCATTCATGACGAGAAATAGCTTTCCGGTCGAGTTTATATGTCGTTTCGTCAGGGTTCAATGTTTGCCCGTTGCCTAATGTATAACACTCGTTATGCCAAAATTGTTGAGCACCAAAACCAACCACTGTCACGTTACGGTGGATTGGCCGGATCAAATCGTTGCGTCATCCCGAACAGATGAATGCGTCTAACAGCGCCTGCCCTCCCACCAGCACCCACCACGACCATCTATGACTTGAGTAGAATCCATGTCCTCCCTATACGATGCCATTAACAGGCCGACGTGCCGGCTTGATTAAAGCGGGCGGCGTGAACATGTGTTTCTGCATTGATGCCCTCTTGGCCACTTCAGAACGACTGCAGTAGAGTGTATTGTCAACCACATGCTAAACTCTCTGCATGCGCGGCTTCAGTCTTGGCGACATCCCCCTTCACTATATCGCTAAAAAGAAGCAACCCGAGCGTCAGCGGGATCTACAGGCGCGTGTGCACGTAATCGGGTTCTTGTATCCTGCTCACGTGCACCTCATATCTCATACAGTTGACACTCTAGTCTAGTCCCCGCGTCCACTCCCGTGGCCACCCGTCTCTCGCACGCAGTCATCCTGTAATGAAGGCAGGAGATGATTGCTTGAGGCATCCCCTGCTGGTACAGTGCCTGCGACGGGGTATCAGTCGTTGCTCAGAAGGCCTGGTGTGACGCGATAAGGTACGAACTCGTTTCAGGTCTGAGCTGCACGACATCGATGGTGATCACGTCCCAAGTGCGCTCATACTCTTGCTCTTTCAGATGAATGCCGCGAGTGTTCTTGCCCTCAAACGGCGAGTTTTGCGCAACGTCGGAGAGGTCCAACGGTTCCGTAGACATGAAGATCTTGAAGAGCCCAACGTCTACGTCTTGATCTGGTCGCAGGTATGATGTGAAAGCTTGACCTCTACCAGGACCGAATCCATCGATCGACAAAGTCCCCCTTGGCAGAAGAGGTGGATTGCGATGATCACCCCGTATTGGCGGCCTATAGAGCTCCACTACAAGGCAATCGTAACAGTGCTTTGACAAAGTGTCTGTGATGCTCACCAATAGATAGATCACTACGATCAAAATAGAATACCCAGACGTGGAGGGGAATATCCAGTCTGCTCTGTAAAGTCATGCCATAATCGGTTATGTTGTCCGCCGTCATGTGAACCTCGTTACAATCACCGGTCGAGACAGCCGTTTTCGGATGGTTCGCTGTGCACCCGGTGCGCTTGAGTTTGTGCACATCGGCGCCGACGAACCTTCGCAGTGACCTCTCCGTCGGACATAGATGTAAGTACCAGAAAAAGTGGTGAGCTGCGCGCAAAACTCGTCCTATGTGAAGCTCGTCCGGAGGTGAAGTTGAGCATAAGCGATTCAAACCGTATGCCTTGATCTTTGACGAGCACACCAAGTATTCAATTCCGTGATTCCCTTCACAGAGGCTGAGATCCGCGTGTGTCGGAGACGAGCAGCTGTCAACGAGCAGACCTGCTCTCGCCATCCCCTGTATGGCAAGATTGTGCAAGGGGGAATCGACATCCCCCTTGACGTGTAGCCGAAGCTTACGCTGGTCACTTCCTGGAGAAATCTGGAAGGCGAAACAAAGCGGTGGCAGCGATGGGTCCGAGACCATGGCGTCAGGAGCGGGTGACAGAACAGTACTGAAGTCGCCGACTTCCATTGCCTGCAGGGTGGACAGAGGTTGCTCGCTGTCGTCGGCGTCGGTGTCGTAACGGGAAGAGTGGATAGAGAACCGCGCGCCCGTGCTGATGCCATGAAGACGCCCAGCGTTGATCATGTAACGATGGTCGCCGTGCGCGAAGACCCGGAAGGCGCTACCACTGATTACTGGGACTCGAGTCTGGAAGATGAAACGATCGACGTGGAGACCTTCGCAACGCGGCGTTTGTCTATCACAGCGCCTTAGTTGTGCACCCATTTAGAAAGCCACTAAGGTCTCTCACCTGGGAAGGCTCGGAAGGTATTCCACGATGTCGTGGTAGGTGACATACTCTACCCCGAACTGTCGCAGGACTCTCAAAAGGGCGCCAGTAAAGCCTCCCCGACCTCCCTCTTCGAAAGCGGATTCATCTTCTCCGCAAGCTGATAGAAGCACGTAGGGCCTAGAAGAGTCACTGTCCTGGGTGGGGACAGGATTCACAAGGCCGAAGATCTTCATACACGCAGCCCAGAGAGAGGATGAAATGCCGTATGTCGCACAATCATCCTCGCATGGCAACCAATGCACAGGAGAGTTGCAGCAGTCGAAGATAACTGTCTGTACCTGCGCTCAGCTCAGATGCCACGCCTCGAGATAAGACTTACAATATTATCGCCTATACTCTCGTCCGCCGCGAGCCCTCCCAAGATATCGTCCAAAGTTCGGGTCGATATCGCACCGCGAAATCCGTCGATCTCGTTGTCAACATCCTTCACTGCATCCACGTCGTAAGGCAGTATCATTGAAATTGGCCTGTCGCTGGTCGTTTCCGCCTTGCTGATCGCCCCATGGCCAGCGAAATAGATGAGAATGGGATCGCCTCCGCGTAACGTTCGACGTGCACGGAATGCGTGTAGCTGCTGAATGATCGCCATACGCGTTGCCTTCTCGTTGTGCAAAATAGCGATCTGATCGAGCGATACGTGTAATTGCTCGTGTAGATAGTCGCGCACAGAGGAGGTATCGGCAACGGCCCCTTCTAGAGCTTCGAGATCTACAGATCGATATCGATCAATGCCTATGAGTAATGCTTGAATCCGGGAGTAGTGTTCTCTGGAGTAGGTTAGTGGGGGCGGGGTGATATGAGTCCGATAACTGACATATGATGAACGGAACAGCCCTGAGCCTCCCCTCGATGACTAGTAGTGCTAGAGCAAATCAGTAACTGTCCTAGTCTCTGGACTTGACTGTCGCGCGCACTGATTAAGGCTGTGCACACTTTGTCTGACAACAGTTGAGACACATATTGCCGCGGAGGGATTAAATGACAAACCTTGATATGCGCCTGCATAGCGCAATGAGGCTCCGTAGTACGACCCTTATCGTTTGAGCGAACATGGGAGAGAAGAGGGAGCGGGCCGCAGTTATGTGGTGGATCACTGTTTTCCTGTCCTCCTCTTATAGGTCTTGATCCAGCGCCCGATGGCCTGTGAGCACGATGCATGCAGCTAGATGCGGAGATTGCCATGGGCCATCACATCTATGGTAGAGTCACTTGAGCCACGCTACTCGCTGTTCGCATGTGTGCGCCATCGCCACCTGTCGCGAGTGAATAGCATATCTCCCGTCCTGAATCAGGTCAACGGCACTGTGGCATTCCCATTTATGAGCTGTGGCATCAAATCGCTTGGCACGGAATACCGTACGGGGTAGTATTCACCTTGGGGCGTCGATCTAATAGAGCCGCAAGCTTGAACTCATGTATGGATCAGTGGTCCTCATCCATGCCCATCCGTCCGCATTTGCCGTCAGTGTTAAGCGTTCACCACACTTCATTCCACGTAGCCGGATTTCTTGCACATCCAAACCCATCCCTGGCGTCGTCATACGTACATCACCCCTCTGTCTTTTGGCACCTGACCTAATATAGAGTCGCCGGCATAGAAAAGGCTCGAATTTACCGGCGATATCGTCAGCCGCCTTGCAAAAGCTCTTGCTTCCTAATTCGATACCTATACTAGCATACCACCCAAGGATCGATGAAACCGAGTAAGGGTCTACTCCAGCACATGCAAGGCAACATACACCGGGCTGAGCGGCGTATAAGGAGGCTTGGTTCCCCGGTTCTCATGGAACTACTTTTGGTAGGTTCAAGCGCATGCCTGTCAAGAGTTGACCCATCGCCTCGGTGCCTCGCCGGTTGTAGAGATCGGACGCAACCGAGACCAGAAGCGCCGCGAAAGGGCATTTCAAATCTTACGATTCCCATAAAGAGTGGATTGTAGTCGCAGCGAGACTCAAGGGAGACGCGATGAGGATGTAAAAATGGAAATGGTGATCAAGGTCGCTGGACAAGAAGTTGACTGGAACGTCGGCGTTGTTTCGCCGGACGCGCCGCGGAGTTGCCCTCCCATCACAATCTTATGATGGGACTGGTGTACTCGTCACACCTCCAACACCACTGAGTGCGAGTTGGCACGCTGCCGCACTATATAGCTAATGTTCCCTGTGCTCAAATATATGCTCTGGTGCCCTCTCCCGTCCCAGTACGGTCTGAAATCGGAATGACCGAACGTAGACCCTAGCGCCTCAGCGCCGCGCCCGGCGCACACGGCGGTCGCCGGTCTCAGGCTGTCAATCAACGGTCAATCAACGGTCAGCACTTCCCGTCAACGGCGAGGGCCGCTAGGCCGATCGCCCTCGACTCGTACAACCAGATCCTGGCCGCGACCTCTGTTTTACGGACCACTTCATCTTATAACTTGCGTCCTTATACATTGCATCGAATAAATTACCATTCAAAGTGGTTCAAGCGTTCATCATACCCCACGTCGTCTCATTCTCAAGCAGCGGCTGGTCGGGCTCATCGAAGAGCCGGTGACCACATCACTACACTGTCTCATAAAGCTTGGGAATCAGTACTAAGCGTGGCCACTGTCTCCTCGCATTGCTTCCCTGCTTCATGTCGTTGTTCGATGGGTCGAGCGTGAGAAGCCGCCGCATTGTCGCTTGGAAACCCTATCGGATGTACAAGAATACTCGCGTCCCCGCGATATGTACCGCCCTAGTATGGCCGTGTGCACAGGACAATGGACTGGGGCCTGAGTTACACGAGTAGTATAGCAGGCCGATGTCAACAGGAATGGAATGAAGGCTGTAGCTCGCAAAGTCTTGTGCGATGCTGTACAACAGGTATCGAAATGGTATCCCATTGCGGCCCGATATCTGGCTGCCGCCTGCGAATATTGCGAGGCCTGCTCTTCTCGAACGGCGACATCTGTGCAATCCCACCGAGATCGACAAACTCTGTTGTGAAGAAGAACTTGAGGAAGCCCACATCGAGATCTTGGTCTGAACGTGTGAAGCATGTGAAGGGTCGTCCCCCACCGGCACCGTAGCCTATGGACAAGGACCCTTGTGCTGGGATCGATGGTTCTGCACCGATTCCTATAGCTGGTGGTCGATATAGCTCAGCTACAGCATCGTCAGAATCGCCAATGCGGGATACAGCGAGAGACTTACTGATAGATAAGTCACTGCAGTCAAAATAGAACCCCCATACATGTAGCGATACTGGATTATGGTTTTCCAGTGTGATCCCAAACGCTGTCTGATCATCCGCGACGATGTTGACAGAACCGGATAGGAAGAGGTTGTCGCCATGTCTAGCGAGCAGACGCTTCATAAAGGAATCTCTCTCGCCGTTGCTGCCTGGCAGTAGCTTGTGTACTTCTGAGACGATCTGATCGCGGAGCAGACCTTTGTTCGGGGACCGAAAGAGGTGCCAGAAGAAGGTGCCTGCGGAGTGCAGGATAGGCCGTATGCCGTGTACGCTCGCCTCTGTCCCTTTCCATAGTCTACGGAGTCCGTGGCGTACAATCTGCGCGTTGTGAATGCGGTACTCTACGCCGCCGCTTGCCGGATGGACGCTCAGATCAGCCTCCGTCGGATCAACGAGCCGGACAGACGGGCGCTCCAGCTGTCCTTGACGCTGGAGTTCCTTCAAGAGTGCCTTCGGGAGTGCTGCTACTGCAGCGGGATGATCGTCTCCTATTTCGAATAATGGGAGGTGCAGACGGAGGGAGGCCACGTGTCCGATGGACGCCTGCAAAGCGAAGCAGAGACGGGGCAGATGAGATGATGACGCTAAACCCGAAGGGCTGGCACAAAGCTCGGAGATGAACGGCTTCACAGCCGTCGATGTCATCGTGGTCAATGGCGAATCCTCGTCGGTGAAGTCGGCAGATGAGTATATGTGGAATCGGGCACCGTCATAGACGCCGTGGGCAAGGCCTGCGTCGATCGTGCATCTGCCGTCTTTCTGGACGATAGGGTAGACAGTCCGCATCTCGCTTGGCGAGAGAGCATTGAACAAGATACGGTTGGTGTTTCCCTCGCACTGTGGAGTTTGGCTTCCACAAAAGGTTAGAGATGGCCTGCAGAGCATACAATGAACAGCAAGATTCGTACCCTTTGATTGTGATGCTTTTCATAAGCTCTTGATAGGTTATCTTGTGTGCGGAAACACTTCGCAGTGCACACAAAAGCGCGCGGGTGAAGAGTCCACGTCCGCCCTGCTCGTAGGCGAGCTCGTCCTCCCGGCAAGCCGCAAGCAGAACATGTGAGCTCAACCCCGATCTCAGAAAGCCAGTCGTTTTTTTGCATCCACGCTCTTTCGGTGCCTTGCTAAGTATGTTCTTGTCCAGACTCGACGGGATCCGGTAACCCTTCGCCATCTTGATACGGCGTGCCTTCAGCAGCCCACGGGTTCCTGATCCGGAATGGCAGCAGTCCATGATTACAGTCTGTAGCAAAGGAACAGCTTAAGCACGCATTCAACGCCAAAAAGGCAAAACCCTCACGATATTATCACCTTTTCCACTGCCATCTTTGCTCTCAGCGAGGGCATGCAACAGCGCACCCACGGTTCGATCCGGTATGTTGTGCACGCACAAGTCCTCGTCGCTTCCCTCGGTGTCGCCATCGTAGGGAACCAGCATAGATATCTGTCCGCTTCCTGTCACCCAGCCCTCAACCGCCTCTGCTGTGGTACCGTGACCGGCATAGTATATCAAAAATGGGTCACCTGCACGAGCTTCGCGCTTTTGCAAGGCTTCGACTTCGTGCAGTATAGCTTTCCTGGTGGCCGCTTCGTTGCGGAGGTTCACGATCTGCTCGTCCGGCACGTGCATCTCCGTACGCAGAAAGCGGGCAATGTCGTCAGCATCTGCTACGGCTCCACGAAGGGCCTCAATATTGGCAGACTTGTATTTGTCGATGCCGATGACCAGCGCCTGAAGTGGAGAGCTGCTGGGATGTTAACATGATGGTGCGGAGTCACGAGAAGGTACGGTACCTGGTAGATGTATCATTTGATCGAGTCTGGACCATATTGTCGAGGCTTTGGGTAGACGGTGCACAGCTGGGTGTGGAAAGCAGCCAGCCATAAAATACCTTTCCCTTTCTTCTTGCCAAGGTTCAACATGCTGTCTGTGCGTGGCTGGTCACCCTGAAGCTCCTTCAAGTAGTGATCATGCGCCAGCAACCCTCCGGCTGTGGTACTGCATCGTGCTGATTGTCCTTGAGTACGTTTCAACGTTTAGAGGCATCTGTGACGTCGAATGCCAATGCCTCCGAAGTTCATTAAGACCGAGGCAACGAGGCAGTTGGCTATAGGTTGACCAGTGCGCGTTATGGGCGCTTTCTGAAGGAAATTCAAGTCAGGTAGGCAAGCGGATTTCTAGCGGAGGGCTTCACACCAGACGACCACCATCTAATACAAGCGGCAGTGATGCAGCCTTGTTCGTTCCAAGTACCGCGCTAGAGGCGCATAGTTTTTGCGTGTTGTGTAGGAGATGCGTGTAACATGAGTAGATTGATATGAGGGTCAGCTGAAGGGCGGGAAGTCACCCGCTCAGGTCTGAGCTTATTAGCACGCTTTCTTCCACTCGTGTCGTCGCGATGTGTGGTTTCCGCTTGCCCCCAAACCGCATGAACGTGATTGGCATCGTGAAGCGCCCGCAGCAACGCGAATACCTGCGCATCGAGATAGAGGCGAACCGAGCACGCACAGGATTATGTGAGCCATAGCAGCACCGAGTGAATAGCATTCGTTTGTGACAGGATCACACAAGTAATGGGCAACGAGAAACATATTAAACACGGCGAGCTGCGCCGTAGCTCGTCGTGGTGGTGGGAGAGGACGAAGAACGGTCCGTGACTCGGATCACATTTTGGGCTTGGGACGCTCGACTGAGCGACTCTGCCCCCCAGTTCCAACTCTCACTTTGATGAACCGCGAGTCTTGCAATGAGCATCCATTTCCCGAACTTTGAAGTCTCTCTCTGTGACTTGACGAAGCTTTCGATCTGATCCTCAAAACTCGGCCAGGGTTCTCCTCCTTCGACTCCAATTCGCATGCGACGTGATGGCGTGGCGTACGCGGACCACCGCTCTCGTTGACTCGAGTTTTTACGGCGAGGGAGGTCGCTGTCCTGGCGAGGGGGTGCCGATGAGGGATTACCGGTGCGTAGTCGTTAACCCTATCCTCGCTGAAGTTCTCGGGCCGGGTGCTGACAAGTCATGCCAGCTATCGACGCTGCTCATGCTCAAAAGCGACACAAACTCGACACAAACGCGATCTACTATTGGAAAGACTCGTAGATTTAGGTCAAAGTCTGGCATCACCGTATACGGTCGACCTGCGCCATCGACACCATGAGTAGTTCAGGGATCGACATCCTGGCGAGTTATCTCTCGTCGTATCTTCAATATACGCTCCACTAGCCTGAGGGCTTAGAGGAAAACCTCTGCGGAGATCCGTTCTACTCAGGCGCACCAATTTCCTATCCGATCGCTGCTTGGCAGTCGGGTTGGCTTCTCCGACGCGAGCGGATACTGTACACGGATCATCATCAGGAGGTCCAATACATACGCATTCCTGCTATCTTTTACCGCAATGTGTTCAAGGCGGCGTTGTAGTATGTGGCAGTGTGTTGAGCATCAAAAGGACCAGAGCTCGACGACGTATCTATCACGCAGATGTTTGTAGTATAAAATGAGAATGGCATTTCTATATCTCTTCCGTACACGCGCAAGACTGCGCCACCCGGTCAGACGACCTGGCTAGATGGCCCAACATCAAACATCGAAAACCTCTATGATGGCATCCGTCTCGTATATGAGCGACATTTCTCTATCATGACAGCAGCATACATCCGTGACCATCACAATTGACGCTGGCCTGCAGTGGCCTGCTGAGGCCTGAGAGACCTTGTGACGCCGCAAATTTTCGCGATCGATCGGTGCGCTTTGCTGTTACTCGTAGCCGCTATTCGCCCCCTTGTTCTTGTCCCGTCAATTAGATGGTGTTTGACTCAGTACTCACAACCAAGCTTGTGGGTCAGCTACGGGGTCACGGCTCACAGGGTGTAACCTTCTTGCGACTGATAACATACAGAAAGGTGTGATGTACAAACAGGCACAGAGGTGTACAAGCTGGTGCGAGTCCAATCACGAACGCAGTGGACCTCTTTCAGTAACATAGCCTACATCAAACCGACGTTAGCGCTCGTCTTCAGAATGTTGCCAGACGGTCAGTACTCACAACATTGGTTCATGTAGAGTCGACTGTTGTTGATGGCGCCTTGGGTACTTCAGGTTTGCGTTGTATGACGGGAATCGTGAGTGTATCCCATACGGGCGCAGGTGGGCGCGATTTCCTCTTGATGTTGCGTGCGCGTCGGCCGAATGGCGAAATGTGTTCGATCCTCGAGAGGTCCACAGGCTCAGTTGAGATGAAGAGCTTGATAAAGCCGAGGTCCGTGTCCTGATTCTCGCCGAGCGTGAATGTATACGGGACTGCACCGCCAGCGCCATATCCGATAGTCAGCTCGCCATTCTCCTGAAGGGACGGCTCAGCACCGTCGCGTCCCGTGATTGATGGCTTGTAGTATTCAGCTTAGATGAAGTTCAGTAATGGTCTTACAACTAAGTTAGAAAGAGTTGACTGACAAACAGACAAAGTGCTGCAATCAAAGTAGAACGCCCAGACATGAAGAGCAGAGGCGGAATGGTTCTTGATTGCCATACCATACGGCGTGTCGTCGTCTGCGACGACTTCCACAACGCCTGATTCGAAAAGGTCCCCGTCCGAGTCGCTCACAGCCCAAGGACGGTTGCGATCAGGTCCAAGCTCCCCATGAACATCCTCCTTGAGTTTGAAGAACTTGACATCGACGTGCTCCACCAGTTCGCTCGTCTTGGGTGAGCGAAATAGATGCCAAAAGAAGTGAACAGCAGCGATCAGGACAAGCTGAATCTCGCGCGAATCCACCTTCGTAGTCCCGAACTTCAACGACGGCACCAGTTCTGTGATTAGAGGTTCGTTCGTGGTGTACATGGCGCAGCCGTCGCTCGTCCTGACACTGAGATGTGCATCTTCCTCCACGTCCTCGAGGATGATAGTCCCCCCGCCGTGGACACGCCGGTGCTGGATCGCCTTCTCGACGGCGTCCTTGATGACGTCGACCCCCGCGTCCGACGGCGAGAAATAGAGGCGAAGAGCCTCGGCCTCTCCAGTGGAGCTCACAGATGCAAAGTATGGCTGTCCCTCAGAGGGAAGCAAGGTATGTGGAGGTAGCTGAGTGGCGAACCCCTTGACCTTCTCCGCAGTCTCAGGTTTCATTATCGCCAATGGCTTGACCCCGGCCTGGGGTTCCGCGGACTTGTAGAAAGCGAACTCGCTGTCGTCTTCCACCCCATGTATGGAGCCAGCAGCGACAGTAACGCTGCCATCTCCCTCCACCTTGGCGTCGTACAATGCAGTCTGTTTGCAGGGCACGAGTGCGTTAAAAAGCGGTCGGTCTGTATAATAGCCCTCACATTGTGGAGCTTGACTGAGACGTCAGTCGTATCGGGATACGCTCTCAAATGATGCAGAACACACTTGGGAATGTCTGGAATACACCTGATCAAATCGCTGTACGACGTCTTGTCTGTAGGAACTTTCTTGAGAGTGCCGACGAGCGCTTGAGTGAATAGACCGCGGCTATCGCCCTCATAAGCAATCTCGGTCTCTCGACAGGCTGCGAGCAAGACGTGGGATCTAGTGCCAGCATTCGCGAAACCGGCGGCGGCTTTGAGGTCGCGACCTTGCGGGGCAGATGCCCATATCTGTTGATCTAAGTTCGCGGGTATCCGATGTGACTTCAAGTTGACACCTCGAGGTCGAAGCACGCTAGCGCCGCGAGTGCCAGAACCAGAATGACAGCAGTCAAAGACGACTGTCTGTTCAACCAGATGAATACGAGATAGCTAGCTGGCGCAGACCGGCGACTCACTATATTGTTGCTGACTCTATTTTTACCCTCCGCAAGATCGTGCAAGAGCGCACCGATAGTTCGATCCGGGATGGCGTGTTTGACCAGATTGTCCGCAGTATCAAGCAAGCAACCAGTTGCATCGTGTGGAACGATGAGCGAAACCGTCTGCCTTCCTACATGCCATTCCTCCGGCGCGTCTGTGGTAGAGCCGTGCCCAGCAAAGTATATCAGAATGGGGTCGCCATCGCGAATCGTAGCCCACATCGCAAACGCCTGGATGTTCCGAATGATGGCGTGGCGGGTCGCAGCCTCGTTCCGTAGAATCACGATCTGGCGCTCGGGGACTTGGAGCTCAGTGCGCAGGTAGTTGTACATGGATTCGGAGTCGGAGACGGCCCCGCTGAGGTCGTCTATGGCGCGAGATGAGTATCGATCAATGCCAACGATCAGCGCATGCAGCGGGGAACGTAGGGTTCTGTAGGGCGCATCGTTGAGTCCCTGAGATGAATCAGACTTGGGGTCAGAAATACACACTCTTCGATTGTCTCTACAACAGCGGGGCCGTATTGAGGCTCAGCTTGATGTCTGCAAACATAAGTTTAGCCCATTCCGCACATCATCTTAGAGAACAAGTTACTAACCCGGTTTCCGCGAGGAAGGCGATGTCTTGGGGAGCACCTTGATCACTATAAACAGTGAATCAATAGGCACTAAAACACGCCGCTCAACAAAATGAAGCCTACGGACAGGTTGATCTCAGAATGCACAGGAAGCTCATCAGGCGTGAGATGATCTCTGACAGGGAGATGTCAGGCGTAGGTTAGCCTCCCTGGGTGTGTACGCACATCGAGACCGGCCGCATGCCTAGCGAGGTCTGTGGTTTACTGTCCGGATATCAGAGAGGTTTCGAGTATAACGGCGCACAAGGAGAGAGCACGAACATGAAGTCTTCCGATGATATGTCGGGCGTGGCACTGGTATGGTCAGGATCTGTTGCTGGGAGAACAGGGACAGGCGATGCACGCCCAGATATCCGTCTATTGGTATCAGAATCAGCAAAGGACCTGGCATGGAAACGTGCCCTGGACGTACCCCATGAAGTCACGAAACATATTCCTCACGCCCGTGCGCGGCTTGCTCTCAAGGCCGTCAGACATATTCAATGACATAAAAGAAGATAGTGCCGTCACGGTATGTGGGTTCGGCGACTTATAAGATGCGTGCGCCGGCAGCGAGCCTTGAGTAGGTCCTTCGACAGGCAACCAGGCACCTTGCGCCTTATCGTCTGTAGGAGCGCTTATGAGATGGCGTAGATTCATAGATTTCTATCCCGTGCCACTCATGAATCGAAACGCACGAATGCTACCGAGGGAATGATTGAACGTATAAGGTGGGGCTTCGCAGCGCTTTGTCTTAACTTGAGCCGAGGATAGCCAGGCATAGGAACCGGAGCCCTGAGCGAAGGGCAATTGTAGCAGTCATGATTCGCATGCTTGGCCATATGAGGTTTGCTACAGAGTTCATGGCAGGTTCGAGAATCAGAATGTCCATAACCCTCGCAGCGAAGGTCTTATAACGCGCCTCGTACGGGCCGTCTCATGACAGAAGTCCGCGATGCACACAGCTTGGCGAAGATAGAGAAGTGCGCCTGAGACAAACTTGCGTGACAACGATAGGTGAGTACAGTACTGGGATGTTGGTGGCGAGAGGCGAAACGTGCCAATGCGTAATTGAACTTCCGCACACGCCGCGCCGCGCCAACGGGTCCGCCGCCGCCGGCTGATGAGCTTGCAAAAAGAGCTTGCTCTCTTCCACCATCACTGCAATATGGTGCCCGTGTGCCAGGGTCACCACGATGGTCGCTGTATGCTATCCTTTCGATGTTTTCGGTAGTGACCAAGAGAGGAGATGGAGCCTCTGGGAGCAAATCCGAAGTGCTATAGTAGCAATAACAGCTAGTGAGCTGGGTTGAAGGTGCGCCGTGCCTCGCTATGCATGTAATCCCTGACTCATTGGTGTACTAGCCGATCGCATGCTCGATATGTACATTGTGGCCGGCGTGCCCAGGCTGTGCTCTGGGGTAGCTATCTGGGGTACGCGTACATGTTGATACAATGCCATCCCTATCCTTCCCATTTCTCTACTAGTTCGACTCACCATACAATCGTCACGGGATGCCCTACGACTACAGGCAGCATACATGACCAGGCCTACTCGGCGTCCCTCTGCTTTGAGTAGGACCACCTATTATCGAGACACTGTCCCAGTCTATGTATAACACAAGTCCTGTCTATATGTCAACGAACTAAAATCTTTGTACCTGGCTGTCTCGCGCATGCGATACATGCATTACATATTCTCGGAAGCACGCCCTGCAACGCTGTCGTCCACCTCCAACTTCCGCTGTACAACGGTGATCGTGGTCGAGTCCCACGCGGCGTCATTCAGTTCCATGGCGGGTCTCGTACTGCGAGACTCGGGACGTATAAATGGCGATCTCTGGGCGAAGCCGGAGAGATCCACGGCCTCCGTCGTAATGAAGAGCTTGATGCACCCAACATCCATATCCTGACCTTCGTGGAGAAAGAAAGTGTAGGGCAATCCTCCCTGAGGGCCGTATCCGATCGTCAATACGCCTCGCGGGGGCAGGCATGGCTCTGCGCCGCGTTCAAACCTAGGCGGCCGGTAGTACTCGGCTGCATACGCCGCAAGTCAGCGCATGATGTGTCCTCGTAGGCAAGCTCTCACTTATGGATAGTGTGCTGCAATTGAAGTAGAACGCCCAGACATGGAGCGGTCGATCCGATGTGTTGTGAACAGCGATTCCGTAAGGCGTATCATCGTCCGCGACGAGATCGACAAGACCCGAATTGTACAGGTTGGGACCAGATATGGCCCAAGGACGTCGCAGATCCGGTCCTAGTTCCGCATCTTCATCTTGCACCAGAGCGTGAAACTCAACGTGTAGCCGTGGCTGCTTAGGCCGGTTATGGAAGAGCCGGAAGAAATGGGCGGCCGAGTTAAGCACGCGATGAATCGAGCGGACACTTGGTTTAGTACTGTACTGCAGCTGGCGAGAATCTCCATAGAGTCCGACCAGGGGCTCGCGGAGGGTGTACTGAAAGCTCGTGTCGCCAATACGGATGACGAGGTCCGACTGTGCGGCTTCATGCACACGTACAAGTGCCGGCGCGCCATTGAGGGGTTGTTCTACCTTCTCTAGAGCTTTCTTGATCAGCAGGTGACCTTCCGGTGCGGTCGAGGTGATGTACACGCGTAGGACGTCAAGGCTCCTCGTAGAACTTTGTAGGGCGAAGTAGGAGGATGTCCAATTCAACTGGTGAGCACAGCCCGATGGTATCGCAGCATCTTCTAAGTAAGCCTTGACCGCGTGGGATACACCAGGTTTCGTATCAGATGAAGGTTTTCCACTGGAAGTCAAGTCAGAATGAGAGTACACAGCAAAGTTGGTGTCATACCCGATGGCGTGGGTAAAACTCCCGTCGGTGAAGAAGCGACCGTTCTCCTGACTGATTCGGTACACGGTTTGGCCTTCGCCACCCATTGGGCCCTTCAGTGAAGTGTAGCACATAGTCTTGTCATCAGACTGTGTTCCCTGGCTGAAATTTGCCGTCAGTCTCGCAGAATACGGACTATCAAGGGTATCAAATCTCACCCGAGTGTCTTCGACACGTATGGCATAAGGTTCAGATGGCTGATTTCGTTGGAGACGACGTGTGACAACCCCTTGGGTGCGTGGATGGATGACTTGTGCCGCTCTGCGTCTTGAACGTCTCCGCTTCCTCGAGAGGTGGTCGGGGCTATATGTGATCCGTCAACTAAAAGGAAGGGTTCTTGAGAGGCGGCGAAGGCGAGGGCGGGCCGGATTTGGCCGCATATCGAGGGTAACAGATCTTGGATCTTGAAATCGAGACCGCTGGAACTGCAGCAGACGGCCATACAGTCAGACTGGGGTGCGGCGTGGCGCAAGTGGTGTCTGGCAGAAATGGCATTCTGTACAGGATTGAGTCCATTTCAGTTGAAAAGACGGAGATACACACAGCATTATCAGACCTATCGGGTCTGCCATTTTGCCTTGTGAACTCGCGTAGGAAGCGGCCATCGGTCACATATGGGAAGATACAAACAGGACCATCCTCTTTAGTGTCGACTAGATCATCTTGCGGCACACTACATGAAACTTCTTCGCTCCCCGTGACCAGGGCTTCGAGCGCTTTGAGGTCTGTAGGACATAGTACGCAGGCATAGTCCTCATTGCGAGTGTTCAAACCCGTGCGCAGCACCGTTCCCTCCTGACCTGCTAGTAGTTCTCCCTGGGCATTTCCGTGGTCGTATGATTCGGGCACCGGCGAATTTGCGTAATCTAGCGCTGGGCGAGGACATTCGTCCGCGCTGCTAACACTGGCCGAAGTCGCGGAAGTCACGGAGCGTGATGGGACTTGGGAGCATAGGTTAGACCTGTTCAACGAAACCCCGGCTTAGTACATTGGTCGATACGGTAGAAGGGCGAAAGCACGAACGAGCATTGAGAGTGAGCCATCGTCTTGTCCTGGGGAAGATTACGATCGCTCTCGGCGGTCCACGCCCATCGTCGCGGTATGTCCCCATACCCCAGTCCGTCGAGCCATCTACCCCACTAGTCAGTTCGTGTACTCATGGTGAAGCCGTGGGTCGCACCTCGAGACCCATTGTCGACCATGTTCCACGTATCCTCGAAACGCTTCAACTGAAGCTAGAGCCTGCGCAACAGGTGAGAGTTCCATTTGTGAGGTCGGGGAAGGCGAATGGGCGCTTTGCAAAATTTGGTCCAGCTGAAGTACTGATGAGTGAGGCCATGAAGTGTCTAGGCTACTCACGTATACCACGCTGTCGTCTGTTGCTGAGAAGAATTGTGTACACGGTTGGATCACCTCCTGATGAGTGAGGCCATGAAGTGTCTAGGCTACTCACGTATACCACGCTGTCGTCTGTTGCTGAGAAGAATTGTGTACACGGTTGGATCACCTCGAGTTGTCAGGCTTCGAGAATTCCGCCCTTCCGCCACGCCGTAGAAGGAGGCGCTGTCAAACAATTTCGGCGTTGCTGTAAAGGATGCAACACGGGCTGGACATGATCCGATTCTATGGCAGGCTGTCCGGGCAGTTTGTTTGCTGAGATCAACGACTCCGTGTCCATACCGCTTTGCCTTCTCCGGCCCGTTCAATGTGAGAGCACCCGTACCGGTTACCAAAGACGCGCGGGTCATAAGCGCGACTGTACGTTTCATGGTCAGAGAGACAGACAGAACGCCGCATGAGTGTTATTGTCTCAGTAGTAGTGGTTTGGTTGATCATGGAAGTGTGAAGCAACTCGAGCGTGGGACGCATGCCGACGTACGCGCGCACCCTCGCGATCGGCTCAGACGTCGACTTCCACCACTGCTATAGGCTTCGTGAGAAGGCCACCATTCATGTACATAGCTTCACTGCCCTTTCTATGAACGCGCATGCTATCGGACCGTAACTACTTGGTCCCTTAGCGCTTAGCAGCCATTGGCCCATTGGCGCCCTAGCGCGGCCTGCATTGCCTCACAATCATCCACTTCCAGCGGTGAATGTTCCCCTGCGAGTCTTGATGGTCGTCTACGGATGAGGCTTCATCACGTCGAAGAAAATACGTCCGTGCCGTATTGGCGCCAATTGAAGTTGGTGTTATGCTGTTACGGGGTGCGTCTCACCCTCAATCGGCCTGGGCCGTCTACTGACTCTCGCTACTCTTCGTGGAAATAGATCACGGGTAGCCTGCTCGGTGTCGTGTGCTCACTTCCACGTACATAGCCCCTTACAGATCCCCCTTATGAATCTGTAAGTCATCATAACTTATCTCCCCCGGGCATGACACTCGGCCGACCGAGACGCCACCATCATTCAAACTAGTCGCTGACACATCATGCACGGATGTTAGCCTACCCACCGGGGTCTAGATATAGTCACAGTCAAGCGCCAATACTCGACATTTGTGGACTCTTTTGGCGGCGCCACGACAGAACTCAAGTAATTTCAGACAACTTCGGACGCAATGGTCCGAAGCCAGGATCTCGCCCTTTGAGCGTATCGTACCCATGCTCAACACTTAGCGGGTCAACACAACGGAAAACAGCGCTTCTCTGACAGAACGCCAGAGATGCACAACGACCGATCGATGCTGCCTGGGCTGGGGGCGAACCCAGAGGAGGGTTCGGTAATAGCTGATCTTGCTCGCGCACTCGCATATCCCAATAGCGGATGTTTGAAGCTCCAAGTACCCATAGGCCTTGCGTAATGGACACCCGCATATTTAATATACGCATGCTTGTCGAATGCTTGTCTTTGCTATGTACATAGGCCCTTGCGCCATATTATTCGGCATGAAATTGCGAGAGACCCGGACGTAACGCGTCAACGACTCGGACTGAGTCGCAGTGAGCGACTTTGTCCTAAACCACCACGCGCACTCGTTTCGGGCCGTCTCTTCAGAAGTGTTTGCGCTCGCGCTTATCATGTATCTATCGGCGACAGAAAATATTCGCTTGTCGGCTACCTTGCGCGAACACGAGTACGCCGCCTGCAAGTCGCGGCTCGCGTGATCATCGGGCTGAATAGTCCGCGCCATTTCCACAATGAACCGATGTTGTTGTGCAACCGCGCGCACCAGGACTGGAACAAGATAAGATGTGCGTGCTCGCAGCGTATACTGCTGTCAACTGGACTGACTGTACTCAAGATAGAAATGCTCGCGCCGGGCCCCATAATGAACCTGAAGGGCGACATACTGCTCGAACTATTCGCTCTGATCGCGACCACAGACGTCCCGCACGTTCTACCTTGGGTCGATCCCGGACCTCTGAAGTACCACCTCGGATGGGTCCGTTTGACGCATGTCTGTCGCCTATGGCGTGTGATCCTCGTGAACGAGATGCCTCAGCTTTGGGCGGACGCGGTGTGCAGGATGCCACCGGCGCAAAACACCATGCTCGGGCGGGCGCGTGGCCGCCCTCTCACCTTGAACCTCAACATATCTCTCGGCCAGTATCTCAATCTTCCTTCCGGTCACGTCCACCATGAACGACTGTACAACTTCGCTCTTGCGAACATCGCTCAAGCCGAAGCCTTTCACGCATTGCACGCAACCCTCGATCGGGACTGGCCCCTAGTTCTGGCGGATAGGCGGGTACCATTGCTGAAGTATCTGGAGCTCAAACGACAACCGCGTGGAGACGACGATAGTAGGCCGGTGCTCAAATCATTCGATGCGCCGAATCTCTTGTGGGTTCGACTTCAAGATATAGCAATGACCTTCACGTCCACTTCTATTCGCCACCTGTACATATTCGGACACCAGATATTCTGCAACCCGGATTGGTCAATACTGGACGTGCTTAGCCGTCTCCCTCTTCTTGAGTGGCTCGAACTGGATCAGCAACCGTACGAGCGGCTCGATTATACACGATATGAAGGCCCTCCGATCACTCTCGAGCGCCTGAAGCTTCGTCGCCTATATGGCAACGCCAAATCCGACATGGTCACATTCGCGAAACATCTGCCCATCTCTGAGCAGATGCGCTCTCAGATGCGAGAGTTGTTCTATGCTCACATCGTCACGGATCGCGAGAACTGGGAGGACGACTTCGTCGCGGCTTTCGGACCTTCCCTCGATACCCCATCCTTTGACGGTATGCTGGTTTGTGATGAAGGGGACAAGACGCTCGTCTGCACATTTCCTGTGTGCGAAAAACCAGAACTCGCACCCGGCGGATGCAGGCAACATGCCGACCTTGCCATCCTCATTGACGATGAGCCCTCGCGCGTCAGAATCGGGTTGGCGGCGCTGAGGCACATCGATGCATCGCATATCAAGCAATTGGCTTACGGCTTGGAAGTTCCCGGCGAGTACAGAACCGAGACGGTAGAAACATTACGCGCGTTTTCAGCCGTCACCGACTTTGCAGCCCTGACGGGAGATGTGCTTTCGTTGCTGTCTGCTCGGGAGGACGGCTTCGTGTTGTTTCCAAACCTCGAGTCACTTCACGCAGGCATGGAGGCACCCTCCACCATGGAAGAGCTGCATGCATGGTGGGATATGCTCGCTAGAATCATCAGTGAGCGGTCTGCAGCGGCCATCTTCATACGCCGCATTCGACTTGCCGATGGTTGGAAACAAGTTGTATGGAATCAGGAGTTCGCAGTGGTTGATGCCATGAGGAAGGCAAGTGTGGAGCTTCTTGGTGTTGAGGTTCATGACGATCGCCACAACATTGTACGGAGTTGAGCCCTGCTGTATGATACTCATTGAAGCATGAACGTTTGAACATCGTTGTGCGTGTTCTAAAGTGCATTATATCAAGTCGAACCAGCTCAGCTACATGTATAGATTGCAAAGTTACCCGTGTATACATCAACATAAAGATATACTGTTCTTGCGCGTGACACGGGGCGATAACGATCCACCGAACACTGATTGTGGCGAACTAATACAGAGCGGCGTCAGGGAGACGCGCGGCATCACAACCTGAACAATGTATCACAATCAACAATGACTATCGTCACTTTGCCGGAGTGGTTAACGGGATCGCCTGCTATTCCCTAGCATCTCAGCGGTTGGGCTTTGCCCGCGAGTGTTCGAATCGCTCAGGTGACGAACCTTTTTGACTTTTGCGCTCGAGAAGCCCCACTACGCCATAAATCTTGGGAGAACGTCCAGTTTTATACTGCTCGCGTTACGATCCGATGTATCCAACTTATGTCTAGACTCATATACAAAAGCATGCGTTGCACGGACACTATATACCTATAAGCTCGCACAGAAGCAGACATGCACTATGTACTACGAGCAAAGCAGACGCGCAAAGTCCAAGCGGAAAGAGGAGCTGGAAAGGGAGACCTTCCGAAGTAATATGCGAGGGCAACCAACTTGAACTAGTAACTACGAATGAACAGATCCGGATCAAGGAGAGGTAGGGAGAAGTCAAGAAGCAAGTGAACTCCGACCGAGGCAAAGTAAACAGGACAAGGGGAGGAAATACGGGGAAGTAAGCACGGTGAGGGGGAGGAGGGCGGATGATGTGTGGCAGGGAGAGGGTACTAGGCGTATTGCGACCGGACTCGACTGTGGTGTATAGCGTCGAGAAGGCGGCGTGGGCGTAAGCTACGGTAGATAGAGCGTAGACTGGACGTTAAAGCATAATGGAGTAAAGAGGGGGGTAAAGGAAGAAGACAGATATTCAACATTCGTCTTCAATCTCCGGTCGAGGCATCATTCAGTCCGAAGGAAGAATAAGGATGAGAAAAGACCACAGCGAGTGATTGCATACTGATACACATTGAACGTTGGGGGATATATCCACGTTAGGCACACATCGCACAGGGCGCGCGGGGCTATGACGCGCTCTTGCCGAGCGCAACGGCGCTCGCGCCGTGTGCAGGCGGTTGCACGCTCCTCCTGTTCGCATTTCCTTCGCGCCTCTTGAGGAACCCTGCGGGCGCTGATCGCTGACTGGGCAGCGTACGGCTCCGCGAGACGCCGCTGGCAGGACTCGACGGATGCGAGCGCGAATGTGAAGAGCCCGTGGGTGAGGCGGGCGACGAGAGGTCCTCGTTGAGCGCGGGTAAACCGGCGCTGGGCGAGTTGGTGCGTTTATCTGACAGGGTATATACAGTCGCCGGCGGATTGGCGTAGGGGGTATCGGGTCCGAGGCAGGGCGTGCGTACGGATGTTAGCGGCGCGTGGGGTTCATCGATTGGCGGCCGGCAGGGTTGAGAGCAAGAGAAGGGGGATGCAAGGTTAGGCTAGGGTGTTGCGCAGGTTGGAGAGGAAAGCAACGCACCACTCATCGGCGTCCGCTCACGCTCGGTCGTTGTTCGTCGGCGTTGCATCTTGGAGCCGAGAACACTAGTGGAGCTCTCGCTGGGAGAGGCAGCGTCGATGACGCTCCAACCTGACGGCGAGTCAACGCGGTCTAGACCTGATCCTGAGGTTTAGCACACGGACTATGAAGAGACGGATTCGACGATACGCACTGGGATCATCCTCTGGTGGGGCGGGTATATCGAGCATGAACCAATCCTGGTGTGCAATCAAGAACTCAAGCACCTCCTGGCTGAGTTGATGCTCTGGCGGTGAGAGTTCATGTGTTGGATGGCTCATGATGCCTGGCCGGAAGATGACTGCTAGATCTACACGTTCAATACCGTTAGCATTCCGAACTCTAACGTAGAAACCTAGGAGAACTTACTTGCAGCAGTCATAAGGTTCTTCTCGTGCTTGCGAGCAAAGACGGAGAGCAAATCGAGGACATAAAGCAACAAATATTGGTTCGCGCGCGGCATCGCGCCGATCAGGCGTTTGTACGTCGCGATCACCTCGTCCTGATTATACGGCTTTTTCGCTATATCAAGCGTCGAGTCAGCGACGGTTGATATCGATGAGTGATGGTACACACATATTGCGTCGCGGAATTGGTGGTACATGTCGTGGGGTATCACGGGTTCAGGCATTTGGGTGAGGTATCGGCGGAAGACCGATGCGACGTCGTGCGTGGTATAGTTCTCTTTCTTCCAGTCCAACGACTTTCCGTACTAAAAACAAACAAGAGACAAAGTTAGCACGACGCATCCTATTTGCCTTATCAGGCAGACCAAAAGCAAAAGCAGATCATAGGGTCCAGCCGCAGACAAGCGCCCGCCGGCGGCTTCGCACGCGCTATCTCGTCGCACGTCGCCCCTCGCATCAATCCCGCGGCACATCCATCAAGAGCTCGGCCACAGGAGGAGAGGAAGTGGCCAAGAGTTTGAGGCGCGCGACGCATCAGAGTCCAGAAGCGCGAGAAGGGGAGAGGTGCGGCACCGGGCGCAGTACGAGGACACGAGGTCCGACGCGCGCAAGAGGCGCGTTGCCAGGCGGCGACGCGTCTGTGGACAAGCGAATTGCAGGCCATCTCTGCGCGCATCATCCAATAGTCCAGACCGCGCCCAATCGCACTTGTACGATCGTATAAAATATAGATTGTGTGGTTGCCGCCGGGACGAGATGGATTGTGCGAGCGAGATCAGTGTCAACGGGGATCACTGTAGAGATGCGGGCACAGCACGCCGTGCAAGGGAGTGCTAGCCAGGGTGCGAAGCGGGCGCGCGAGATGCATGGGAGAGCAAGTCGGAGGCGCGCGTGACGGCAGGCGGTGGCGGTGGAGCGCGCGCCAGTTGATCCAAATCTTCCAATCCAGTGTCCAAACGATAGACCCAAGGACACAGATAGTAGTACAGACAAGAATAGGCTCACCTTGGGCGGTGTCTCGAATATTGCCTGCAGTTCGCGCATCCGCTTGTTCGAGCCGTTGACGCGGAATGTCCCCTCCACCTCCGTTGCTGCATCGACCGTAAATTCCATGCACTACTCCGACCTGCTATAGACGCACCGTTCTCCTTCAAGAACAATCCACTATGATATGTTAGACGCAAACAGTGACACAAATATATTCGATGCGCACCATTTCGCAACGACGACGGGGATGTATCCCCATACGTACAGTTCGCCGCCCTTGCCTGCGGTCGAGATCTGCACGCTCGCGTACTTGAGCGAGTCCTTGAGCGGCTTGCCAAACACTGGATGCGGCCCATCGTCTGCACATCATGGTGAATATACAGTATCGCTCCACCGCAGATCACAGTGCGCACCCTTGTCCGGCAACGGGCCGGGCTTGGACAGCTTCTGGGAAGTGGTGAAGTGCTGCCACCAGGTACGGAGGGCCTTTGTAGCCTGCTGATTGTGCTCCTGTTGCGGCTGGGCACGGATATCCGCCGTCATGGCGCGCAAGGGCGAGGATGCGTTCGGGTGCGCCTTGTTTCTACTTTGGGAATGAGATTGGTGGGAGTTAAAGTTGAGTTGCTTGAACGACGCGAGAGACAGCGGGCGAGCGGCCATAGAAGTGATGTTCCAACCAGTCCGCCTCTCGCTCCCTCCACCACCACTACACCTCCACTCGATTTACCCACGTATACGCAACCCGCATTACGCTTCTCACAGTACACAGCCCGGGCCCAGAAACAGAAAATAACACCCAACTCTCTCCAGCACGCGCGCGCCTCTGGCTTCGATTCCACCGGATCATCCTCTGACGTCCCTCGCTCCATTTATTCCACAGACGCCGCGGCAACCGCCGTCTCGCCCTTCCTGCTTCTTCCCCTCGCCACCAACGAAACACAAATCCGGTATACCCAGAGGTAACCCGCATCGGGGCTCTCCACTCGTACTTCACGGTCATCCTGTGCACTTCATCTCGGACGGACCAATGACGCCGATGGTTGGATGGCTCATGGATGGCTACAGTCGCGCGGGCTTCGCGAAGATCGAGGTACTATGACTCCATGGCCGCCCATATCCCTCGTGCGGATAATGCGGGCAAGGCCGTTATATATGAACGGCGATGTATACAGTCCGAGCCCGCCGTTTACGACCCTGGAGAGGAGCAGGAGCTCGACATCCAGTGCATCGGCCTGCTTACAGAGCGTTCGGGCACACCTTGTGCGCGCGCTTAATTGAGTATGTGCTCGAGCACCGAGTGCGACCCCCGCTTTCTCTTCACGGTCTGCACGGAGGTTACGGATGTGTTGTTGGCTGCATACGATCTGCGAGGTTGGTGGGCGCATGGCTGGATGGAGTGCGAGGGACAAGGTGTATAGTCCAACTGGGCTGCGTGTTACATGGAAAATTTGTCTGTATCTCTTTCACGTTCGAGGAGCTGTGATGTGCAATAGAAATCGAATTCATGTTTTCTTTCTCCCCACACAATCGACGTCTTCATGCGCTTGGTCGCAACCTAGAGGGATGTCCTGCACTGAGACAACCCACCCAGTGTGCAGAGGCCGCGTCGGATCGTGAGTTCCCGCACCTGCTCACGGGTCTCTTTCAAAGAGACTATGAGCTTATATGACGCCTTGAGCTCTGGACCTTACGTGACCTGAGATGAACGCTGTATTGAATAGAGACCGCAGAGAGCAAACGAGTGATCAAACCACCAGGAACTGCAGTCGCGTCGGTCGAGTATCGTTCATGATGGCGAACACCTCTCCGCAAGGCGATGCGAGCTTCGTACGATGTGATTGTGCACCACGTACAGGTTTGAGAGCCCCGGATGCGCGCGTCGCAGAGTCAGTAATCGTGCATGTATGCGGATGAATGCAGCTTCTCGGTTTTGAGAGCTACTAGGCCTGGTATGTCAAGCCTGCGGACATGTCAATGCTCGTGGTCGCGCATTGTGATCACGACTAGGTACAAGTGACGCACCGGAGAGCTGAGCCTCCTCCCAAGCACGCTCCCTTGTAAGAACGAGTCATAGCGCGTAAGCCTCATGTGTAGGTGCTGGTCAAGGTACAGGCAGTGCGGACATAGCTGCAACATGGAGGAAGCGCTGGAGCCAGCCCTTCGGCGCACCGCGAAAATTCTGATCGAAAGACGCGGCACGTGCACCACGCGACTGCCTCATGGCTTCTGTGGCTGGCCCAAGTCCACCTCTTTCCCCGCGTATTTCGAGCCTCAACAGAGCCTCCATCCTCCCTTGTCTCCCGCACTCATCCTGCACCTGAAAGACGCTCATCTCATCTCACACCTCAATCCGAAACAAGCAACCTCAAACAACGATGTTCGTGATAGACTCACACGCCGTGAGACAGGTATGGGCATTATTGTTTTTTGGGTGGCCACCGAGCGCTAATCGATCCCCACCTCTTCTTCTCCTTTTATACTCGATCTGAATCAAGCAGAACTTCGCTGGACCTCAGCGGACGCAACGATATACCGGCTATGCGCTGCCGTACAACGTTTTCGCCAGGCCGAAGCGACCTCAGAACCGCGCGCCACCGACGGCGGCCACCGACGTCAACTTTAGATCAAGCTCGTTAGCTGGCGCGCTCACGCAGGGGATTACCGCCCGTGACCCATATGCTGGTGCTTATACTCAGGTCTCAAACACCACATCGGTAAGTCCATGTTCAAGCGAGCATATATATCGATTCTGACGGTGGCGCAGTACAAACAAGAGATCTCGCTCACAGATGCCCTCAACCCGGCATTTGTACGCAAAGTCTTCCAGGCCGCTACTCCCACTGGGCCCAATACGCCTCCCGCGATCGTACCAAGCACTACCGGCGCTGCGATGCCGGTGCATCAGGCCCAGCTGCCCGTCGTGTCAACTCCTGCGCAAACGGTCATGTCAGCATTTGCCCCCACGCCCGGCCTCACGAACGGATCCTCGCCCGAGGGCGGATCGCCGTATCACGATCCTCGTACGCCGCCCAACGACGTTGGGCACATGGATCCCAGCCGATATACGCAGCACATCCAACCACACGCGATGCCACTCGCTGAGCAGACGCAGCCCTATCATGCTATGAACTCCGGGGTCGCTGCGGTGACCCCGGAACCGTACAACCAGAAATTCCACCCTGCTCAGATCGTCGGAACGACCACGATCGAGCCTGGAGGTGGAAACAACCAGTTGCTAGCCCCGGAGACGGCGGCAGCGACACCCAATACCCCACGCCAGTCTGGCACCGCCCAGGCCGAGACGAAGTCGAAGGAACGCTGGGAGGCGTTCCTCCTTCAGTTTGGCACTGCCGACTCATATACGTTCCGCGCACCCTTCGTCGACGGCAACTTCGGCGTCGCTCTCACAATCGGAGACGACGAGAAGGGCACCTACCGAGCCAAGATACACGAGCACCGCAACTTCGAGAACACGCTTCCGGCGGACGTGCGGTTCGAAATCGCCAACTTGCGCCGCCGCGTCGAGTGGCAAGGGCTACAACCGGCAGAACGCCCTGTCCAGGACCCGTTGAGCCATTACGAAATCATTGACGAGAAGGGAAAACGCTACCGGTGCCCGCTCTGCCATGAGAGTTTGCAGCACGCCGCTCGCGCGCTGTACCGTCACGTCGAGGGGGAAAAACACCTCGCTATCCACTTCCTCTACGCGGGCCGCACGTACTATAGGTCTCCGCAGAAGGCTTGGGAGGGTACGATGACTCGCGGGGATTTTACCAAGAAGGACAACCGGGTGTTCCTGGGTTTACAAGAAGAGTAGACGCGGGGTGGAAGTTGAAGAGGATGGGGGGGGAGAGGAAGTAGGCATCGGTGAAGTTTTTCTCGGCGAGTACGCACCTTATATATTCTCGATATCTGATCTGTACGATATATATCTTCTCGCGTATCAGTGTGGCTGGTTTCACAAATGTGTTCCTCGCCATTGTCGGACTACCTTCTCGCCACGCCGTTCGCGGCGGTTCTGATCGCGCTTCCCAACGTGCGATCGAGGTCTGCACACGTGTCAAACGCGCATCGCGCCGAGATGTAGGTAGATCGGGCTCGTAGAGCTAGTGCCGACGTGTTCAGAGTATAGATACGCGTATACGCTGTGCTGGGAGTTCGCGAGCAAGTTGCGCGTGCGCACACGGAAAAACGCGTTCGAGGCGCGTTTCAGACATCGGGCCGCGAGGCCGAGTGGTTGAAGCGCGGCCAGGTGAGAATCTTCTTCGAGAAGACGCGGAGATCTTCGCGTCATCTCATCGATGGGCTATCTGAAGCAACCACGCGTCCTTCTCCGAAGCGAGCGCGGCTCAAGAGTGTCCGTAAAGGTCGAGGTCTCATTGAGAATGGTGGTTGGCGTGTATTATTGTCGCTTGTTGACGTCGCCTCCCGGTCTATCCAACGACTGATCTTAAGGACAGTAGTTATGTTCAGCGATTCATCTCCGTCTAGCCAGCGTATTCTCGGATACAACTAACTATGCACATGGAGATCTAATGCAAGGTCGCAGCCCACGCGCACATGCGTGAATTGACCACGTACGTCATGATCATTACGGTGAGTTCGCATCGGTGCTCAATAGTTGCGGCTCTGTGTCCTTTGACTAGTAACCTTACGGCTAACAGTT